TCACCAGCTGGGGATTTCTGGGTATGTAACTTGGCCTTGCCAAACTTGTTGAAAGCAAGAAGGCTGACACCCAGGGATTTTGTGAACCATAAGCAAGAGTACATGGCTAAGACTTTTGTAAACCATTTACGCATGATGTAAATAGGTGGTTAATTAATTATATTAAAAAGGAGTTATCCTTGAGCTGCCATAAAGCAGAATGATTGAATACCGGGCATTAAGAGCCATGAGATCAAAGAAGGGAAAAATCGGTTTAAGCTGGAAGAGCTTTAGGCTGCCACAAAGTGGGAGAGAATAAAGAAGCCCATGTGGCTCGGATATAATCAATCAAGAGTGGCAGGTGGTGAAGCTGGCAGGAGGTGCTGGGCCTTGAACACTGTAGAGCGTGGCTCTTATTCACAGGGATCCCATTGAAAGGCTTAAAGCAAGGGGAGATAGAGCCAGCATTCCTTTTCAGAAAGTCATATGAGATATTAGGGGAGGCTGGAAAGCTTTTGTGTAATGTGTGTCAGAGATGATGATGGCTTGGACTGAAAGTGCAGAGAATAGAGCAGATTGTATCCTGGAGAAGAATTCAAGGCAGAGGAAGGAATCTCTGCTGACCCCAGGTTTCTGGCTGGAGCAGATAAGTAGAGGCTAGGGGTGATGAATTGGAGAGGGCCCTGGGCCAGGAAGGGCTAATTAGGTTTTGGTGTCGGGAGCCCTGCCCTCATGGAGCCTTGGCTTTAATGAGCAGCTGTCAGAACATGGGTGGGAGAGTGCATATGTCTTCAGAAGGGATCACCTGACCTTGCCGGTCACTGTCCAGATAGTGCTGGGAACTCAGATCTTTGGGACAAAACCAGGGCTGCTTCCCCAGTTCTGAGGTAACTTGAGCCAGGTTTCCCTTTGGTGTCTGTACACAATGGTGGTTGGAGACTGCAGGTGACAAATGAATCTGCAGAGCGCCCAAGCAAGGTGACACTTCAGCAGGGGTTCTTGAAACACTGCTCCAGAGTGGCTCCCTGGTGGTCAGCACACACTCCATTGGGTAGGGAGAACACAATTGCCTTACAGCCACCTGCACCACTCTCGTTGCCTGGGGGTCCCAATAGAAGTGATGAGGGGAGGTTCGTCCTGCTCATGAACTTGAAATGCTGTAGTGGTTTGATGGGAAACTTTTGTAGAAAAAAAAGTGGCTTAGAAGCCATTAAATCTCAAAAACTCAGATACTGAGAGGTCATGATGTGAGCTGGGGGTGAGTGGTATGTATATGTGCATGCTTGTGCACACTCGCCATTTTACCTGGAACCTGAGGAATGGCTGAGCCCCTTTGGAGTCCTGTGCTCTTGTCTCAAGTACAGGCTTTCAAGGGTGTGCTTATGTTGGGGTGTTTCCTGAGGATGGCCGGAATGTGAGCAATAACAGGGCACTAAATTCCTTGACTGTGATTTGCTTTATTACAGAAAGGGAATATCCTTGGGCTCAAGAAAGAAGGATTTACTGAAAAGCATATTGGCCCAGGTTGCCAACTAAGTCATCTCTGTAATTGGACTCAATGGAGGGAGCCACACTTTGGAAGGACATGGGGTAGGAGTCCATACTTTTACCAATGTTCCCTACTACCAGTCCTGGATACTTGAATATTTGGGACAAGGAGATTTTCATTACCTTTGTTTTCTGTTGGTCTCCAAGAGACCCTTGACTGAAATTCGAAGTCATGACCCCGTGCTTTAGAAGTGAAAAGACAAAGGACCAGAAAAAGGAAGTGACTGACGGTCGTATCATGGTAAAGCCACCATGGAGACCAACAGTGTGGGATGAAATGTCAGTGTCTTAAAAGTGGCACAGAACAAGTGACGTGAGACTCTAGGAGATGGAGAAATAATTGCCTTCTGGGATGCCAAGGCAGGGAGTTAAGACCAACTTCCTGATGTAGGTAGAACATCAGTAGAAGGGGGTATGTTGAAGGTGGCCTTGGGATACCATAAACAGCAGTGCTGGGAATGTGTGCCATCCTCAGGGACTTGTGTAGCCCTATGTGGCTGAACCATAAACCATCTTAGAGGAGGTGTGGAGATCTTCCCATACAGTCTTGTGCAGATAGATGTATGAGACGCGAAGTTTGCTTTATAATGCAGTTAAGTGGCTTACAGAGTCTGTCGATGGCAGAATGAGGACTTCAGGCATATCACTTTGCCCCATATCTGTTAAGGGCTTCAGTGTTGTGCATTGTAAAAGGGTTCAAATGCTCAGCTAAGGAGTTTGGACTTGATTTGATAAGCAATGAATTGCTGTTTAGCTTTCTTGAAAGGAAAAAATTTAATTAGAGCTGTGCTTTAGAAATCTAATCTGGCAGAAGTATTAGGATGAATTGGAGATCCCTGTACCAAATCGAGAGCTTGGGCTTTGGGGATTCAAATCCCAAGAGATTGCACTGAGATTATCTGGAGGTCAAATAAGTTACTACTTTTTCCAAAGTCAGATGGCTAATCACAGTGCAACTGAAATTGAATTTCAAGTCTGTCATTAATGCCTGTATTGTGGATTCTAGTTGTCTAATAATGAGTTGGAAGGAAAGATAATGTGTTGAATGAGATTGAGAGTGCTGTTCAATGTTGTCCCTTAGGTGCTGTGATGCAATAGTGTATGCATACCAAATGTGCACCTGGCCCTGCAGTAGGTTAGGAATGTGGGTACTGTGTGCACAGGTGCATAGTTAAATAAGACATCAATTTCCCCAAACATTTTACATCAGTCTCAATTAGGGAAATTTTGAAAGGCACTCACTGGTGTAAGAGGTGAATTTATCTGACTCTAGCTTTCATGTTAGTATCAACTCTAATATCCATCAAATTAGGAGCTAGCACTCATGGTCACTTCCTATACTTGTTCCTCCAAAGAGCCTCAAATGTAGTATACCACATTGGGGGCATTTATAATTCCTGATACTGTCTCTACCATGAACCTGCTCATCCTGCTATTCTTGTTGGATTGCTGCTTTTAATTCTTTCTTCTAGCCTCTCCACACTTGTCTCATAAACTGGCTACTTAGCCTTAAATGGTGTGCCTGTTCCTAAAACTTTCCTACCTCTTGTCTGAGTCGCTCTTTCCTGAGCAGTGCAGGGCTGTGAGTGAAGTAGACAAGGGTCACTGGTTCTTACCTTCTCTATCAAGTGCATTAGTTTTCTGGGTCGCCTTGCAGTCCAGTTTGCCATGGACTTCCCATCTCCCTGCCTGCTGATGGGCTTCCTCCCCTGTCATCCACATGTTGGTTCTTGTTGAGGACGCTGGATAGTATGTCCCTCTCCATTCTGTGTGGTTCTTTGCTGAGGACTAAGTTGAATCCTGCACTCATCCACTTACTTTAAGTCACGCACACACAGGCTGGCTGCTACAGTCCAGTTCTCCTTGATGCCAACATACAGGGAGCTTTTGCGATGACATTACACCTTTCGGTGTAAAGATGTCACAGGACACAGAGACAGATGCTCTGAGGATAACAATAGTATACTGGAACTACGAGGGGATCTCCAAAAGCCACCGTAATTCCATCTCCCATGACTTGATAGGAGTCTGTATAAGTTGCCAAGTCATTGGTTGGATAGTGAGTTTGAAAGATGCATTTTTTCAGCTTCATCTTAAGTGTCTTTTGGCCACTGAGAGCACTCAGGTCCCTCCCCATTGCTCACAACTTGTGTGAGCTGAGACTGTATAGCACCTTGATGTCCTTGAAGAGTGGCTCACAGATGAGGTCTCTTCAGCCTGGCCCTCACAATGAATCCCCTGGAGTTCCCACATTTCTTATGAAGTTGTGCATTCCATGTGGTTCTCTTCTGTCCATCTAGTCTATCTCAAACTAGATTCCTTTCTGTCATCACCTCACTTTTCTGGTTTCTTGGCTGTTGGCCTAGTTCAGGAGAGATGCCAGTGTTCATCCACACGTGCTGGTAAGCTACAGCCTCCCTGTGTTGATAGCCAGCAAGAAGGTGCTAGGCCACCTGTGGTGACTACTGGGTTCTTCTTTGGCCCACTCTGCCTAGGAAGTCACAGGAGCTGGCACCCAGAATCCTGAGTTCTATACCCATTTTCATTTAGAAAAGAGGTTTACAATCGGCGAAGCCCTAAGTGGCTTGCAGCCCAGCGGTTCACATTGAGGATGAGCCTTGTGCTGCGCACTGTTGCTAGTGCTGGGCGTTGGAGTGCTTGCCCTTGTGGTGGATTTGGGAACTGGAGGAGTGGTTGAGTCCAGCCCTTACAGCAACTCATTTTCCCAAATCTGTGGCACCAGTGTTCTTGCTGTCTGCTTTTAAAGTCGTGTTCCTTAGAGACCTGATAGATTAATGTCCATTACTTGTCTGTCTTCCTACTGTTTTAAGGAGATAAAGGTAGATGCATTTTTTTAATCCTACATAGGATATCTTGTTTTTGCGTTCCATTTAGTCTGCCCTGAATTCCCTCATACTGCAATTGATAGCTCTTCTAATTTCTGGGAAACGTGAGGCAAGACGAGGCTGGTGGCTACTAGCATGCACTTTGTGATACAGCTGTAGGAGCTGAAATGTTCAAATCCGTGCCTGTAGGCATGCTAGGCTCAATCTAAGAGAAGAAAGATCCTTATTCTCAAAGATACTAGAACTTGCACAGTGGCACAGGGTGGGCATGTTGGAGAAACAAAGTTGAAAGTGTGTCTGTAAATCCTTGGGGTGTATGTAAGAGGGAGGGAGGGGTGCTGCGCCCAGGATCCTGGAGAGTGTCTGACTGGCCTCCTCTGCCTTCTTGTGGGTGGTAAAGGCAGTCAGGTGCATTTGTAAACCCCGTTCAGAATGGCTGGCTGCTTCCTGCTTTCAGATCCTGCACAGGCCTGTTGATGGAGGGCAGGTTATTTTTACACTGTCATTGCACATTCATCCTGAAAGTGGGAGCGATGCCGCAGGTTCAGCCCTTTGTCGGACAGAGTCCCTGAAAGGCAGCAGAGCCTTTCCTTGGCCAATGACTGACCAGAGCTGCTTCCCTTCCAGAGATGAGAAGAACCAGTCCATCATAGTCAGTGGGGAGTCGGGCGCTGGGAAGACGGTGTCGGCCAAGTATGCCATGCGCTACTTTGCCACGGTCGGTGGCTCAGCCAGTGAAACCAACATCGAGGAGAAGGTCCTGGCGTCCAGTCCCATCATGGAGGTAAAGCCTTCCTGGCTGGAGTTACTATGCTGGTAGCAGGACTGCGGGGGCTTGAGTTGGGGGTGATAATCGTAAGAATCCTTGAAGGGCCTTATGTAGGCAGCATCCTCGCCTCTTCCCGAGAGGCCCACTTTGGAGGAAGAAACCCTGGAAGTCGCTGTGAAGCACAGATGGGAGAATATTCTCACTTGGTTGTGTCCCTCGGGTCCCCAGCATTGGGTTGCACATTCTCCGCATCCCTGGTCTCTGCTGCATATTATAGCAGTGATCCTTTTGCCATCTATTGCCATCTCTGCTGCTGGCCCCTTCCCTGGTGCCATCACATGTCAAAAAAACTACTCCACTGAAACTACTAGATGGTCTGAAAGGCCCACTGACTCGGGAGGGTGTGTTTTGGGGGGAGGGGGGCGGGAATCTAGGGTAGAATATTCTTTCCCCAAAGTATTTGAGCATTTTATCTTTGGGAGTGGGGGCGAGGGCATTTCTGCTGAAGATCCTCAGGAAACGGTTGCCTGCGATGGCAGGAACTGGTCAGAGCAGGTCGCTGCCTAAGTCAGCCAGGACTTCATGAGAAGGGCCTGGGCTGGGAGGGCTCGGAGCAGATGATAAAAGTGCAAGGCCAGGAACATTTCCTAAAGGCTCATTCCTGCTGTAAATAATTGTGTTTTAGGGTCAGAAAACCATCTTTTTTCTTTCCCCCTTTATAAGGACTTAACTCTGACAGTAGAAGTAAAGGGTTTCATATCCCTGGGCCAGTTTTGAGGCCCTGCCTTTGAGGCCAAGGCTCTTTGTTATCTGGGCCATGGTCTGGTTAGGAGTGGACCTTCTGCTGGTCCTGGGCAGCCCTTTCTGTTTTATTAGGAAGAAATTCATTTGAGAACTAGAAATGCCAAAATAGCTTCAAGTTTGCTTGAGAAGCCCCAAGCCCTGTTGATGAAGTCGCTTTCAGATTATTCTAGAGCAAGATCTTGCCTGGACCTTTCCTGGTCCCCTCTCTCTCCTCCTCCCTTTACCAAGTGAATGAGAATACTCTGAATCTTAATCCATAGAAGTTTAGTGGTTACCCAGGCAAAATCTCCTGCCTTCAGAGTTGTATTGTCAAAGCACCTTCCTGCACCTTCCTTAATGATAGGATACTACTTGTTCTTTAAGAATTCAACAAAAGTAAGTTTAAGTACTATTTAAACTGGAAATGATCAGTATAGTTGAAGATGCTTTTTTTAAAATCAGACATGTGAAAATGGAAGCTCCTATTTGTTACAATTCTTAAACTGGAGGATGCATAAGAATTGCTGCGAGGCTTATTAAAGCTCAGGTTGCTGAACCCAACACATCAAGATTGATTCTGAAGGGCTGGGGAGGGGCTCGGCGATCATTTGCATTTCTCACAAGTTCATAGGTGATACTCAGGCAGATGGTTTGGGTATCACATTGTAGAACCACTGGCCTACTAAAATATTGTGAAGGGATCCCTGGAAAATGGGAATGAGTTAAAAATCCCCTGTAATACTCCAGCCTGCTAGGAATCATCCAGTGTTTGGGCATCTATCCTTCCAGCCTTCTTACTGAATGTTATAGTGTAAGCCTTGTCCCCATATCATTAGACTGCATGAAGTCTTATTGGCTGTCAAAATGGATTAACTACTAGCTTTTCCATAGTTTAACTCCCTATTGTCTGATACTTAGTTGGTAGCCTATTCATTCAGTTCTTATTCTAAGTTCCAAGGTCAGGGCCTGGCCACGGCCCCAATTCTGAAGGCATTTGTGAATCATGGACTTGGCCTCCCTGAGATCAGATCTCTTTGTTAAGGCAACTAAGCACTCTATAGTAATCATTGGGTATAAGCTCAAATAAGAGAAAGTTTTTGCTGTTGTTTTTGTCCTGGAGTTTTAAAATTCACTTTATCTTTTAGGCAGTAAGATTGCAGAGACGGACCACTTTTAAAGATAGAAGTAATAGTAATGCTGGGCAAAACGGAAGGGAAGAAATCTTCAATGCGTGGTGACTGAACAATTGCTAGTCATGCTGGGAAATCAGTAATCACAATATTGTATTGCTAAACAAAACACAATGTTCAAAAAATTTATTGTGGTAAAAGTAACAAATTTCCATTCTTCCTCCAGTCCCTGATAACCTGTCTCCAACTTTGGGACCCTGTAAATTTGACGATTCTAGAGACCTCGCACAAATGGAACCATGTAATGTTAGTCCTTTTGTGTCTAGCTCATTTCACTTAGCACAATGTTTTCAAGGTTCATCTGTGGTCTATCATTTATCGGTATTCTTTTTTATTGCTGAATGATACTTCATTGAATGGACATTACATTTATCCTTTCCTCTCCTGATGGACCTTTGCATTGTTCCTGCCTTTTGGCTGTTGTGAACAATGCTGCTCTAGGTAGACTTGGGTATGCAAATATCTGTTCTGAAACTCTACTTTGGGAATACTTTTAAAATACCAGTGGTCAGAAATATCTCAAGTTTGCAGTATTCCATTTTGGCCTGAGTAGGTTGGTTGGGGGAAGCAGAGGGCTTTGGCATGGGAGAAAATGGAAAAGTCACTTGTGCACCCCCCAATGCACAAGATGTGGTTCATTTGCTGTGATTGAAGGTGTATATACGAGAACCAGCCTAATCTTTACACCATCATGTAAATACATAAAACAGTGGTTCATTAGTTTTTTTTTTTCCATGTCCAAACTGGTACTTTGGAAATGACTCGGGTAAATCCTGAGGGCTCTTTACACCAGATGTAGAATTTTGCCATCATGGAGACTGTCCCTTGAGCTGTTACTCACTGATACCTTTGAGATAAAGTTTGGACTGGACATGAAGAGGAAGATGTATAGCTGGTAAGAACCCTGAGTGGAATTAAAAGTGTGCCCAGGCAGTGAACTGAGTTTTGCATTGCCAAAGTCTGCAAACATAACTTTTTAGAAGATTTGAGTCAAGCCTGTCCTTGGATCAGGAAGCCACATCAGCTGTAGCTCCTTGGAGGGTTGTAACCACCACAGGCATGTCTTAATCAGGGACAGCTGATTACTCTGCCCCTGTTCCAGGGAAGGGTGACACCTCCCCCACGAAGTAATCAGCCGTGGTTATGTCATCGTCCCCTTGCTTCTGCAGCAGCCCAGGAACTGCAGAGGTCTCCTGGGGGGAGAGGAGAGCCGAGGGCAGAATTCCCAGTGGGCCAGCTAAGTGGCAGCTGTTGGAACTAAGGTTGCTGGAGGACGGATTGGGATTGGCTGGGACAGATTGGGATGATTTATTGTCAGCACTGGTGCTCTCTGACCCCATTCTGTTTAGAGGCTTGTCAGCCTCCCAGGAGTAATTTGTTCACAAGTCTGCACTGATTGAAAGAGTATTGTTAATCAAGAGACTATAGGAGCAGGGACAGAACCCACATCTAGGATAGAGGGTCACATGGCTTTTTAGGATGACAGCAGTCTGTAGGCATGTAAGTCCAACAGCCACAGAGAAATCCCCTTGCAGATGAAAGGGACCAAGAGTATAGTGAACAAAAATGATAAAAACAAAGACCAGATAAACTTTCAAGGTTTTTTTTTTTTTTCATTTTAAAAAGAAAGCCTGCAGCTCTTAGCCCATTCAGATAAGAGTCTGGCCCCTGTGTACCTTACCCGTCTCACTCCTCTAATGTTCTCCATGCATCTGCAAACTCTAGCCCCTCTACATCTGTCCACTCTCACCCTGTCCCTTTGTCCATGCTATTTGCAGAAACAGAACTCTGTCTCTTCCCTGCTGATAGAACTCTATTCCAAGAGTCACTTCAATTTTTTTCCAAACAGGCCTTTCCTGTTCCACTGGGCATGGCTAACTGCTCCATTGCTTCCCTAGTACTTGATATGTCTCTTGATTGTACAATTCAATTATATTGAAATAATTCAGTCCATTTGTGTTTTACTATGTATTTGTGTATACATACGCAATAGTTTTTTGATGCTATGTAAATGGTATCCTATTCCATCAACTGTTTGGCAACTTGTGCTTTCATCAACATCGTTTATCCATGAACTGTGTGCTGTAGTTTATTTAACAGCCTTATAGTGTCTCTATATGACTCTGCCACATCTGTTTTCACCTGGTGGACATTAAGGTTGCATTTTTTTATTGTTAAATAGCATAACATACTTGTATGCCCATTTGAGAATTTGTCTAGGGGTTATCTAAACATAGAATTGCTGGATTGTCGCATGCTTCTATGGGCCCTTTTAGTAGACGGGCCCAGTTATCTTGCAGAATGATGGTTCTAGTACTCAGATCCACCAAGTCACTTTGTGAAGCAGCCTAGTGAGGGAAGAAAACGGATCTTTGGGCAGTGATCTTTAGATCCTGGGTGAGATTTTCCTAAGTTGTTGCAAGGAATGATCTCAGACATAGTGAGATTTACTTACTGCCTTTTTACAAATTAAGATGTTTGAACTTTTTGAAACTAAATGTTTGAAGTTGGAACTTGTTGAAACTGGGTTATCCTTTAGAGTTTTCCACAAACTGGTCTTTGTTGATTGCATCCTCATAATTGTTCCACATGTTCCTTTGTCCCCTGTGTTTCCTGTAAAAAGTGTAGTAAAATTTAGATGTGTTGATTTTTTTCTTTTTTTAAAATAAGAAACCTTACTCAGGCAATCTTGTGGGTCCCCGCTAAGGGCTTCTGTCAGCAGTCATTGGTTATGCCTAGATCTATTAATTCATTACATTGTAAGATGGTGATATTCTTACTGTTATTCTTTCTGCATTTGTTAGCTGGAACAAACCTATAAAAGGAGATTCCCCTCACCAACCATTTAGTTACCCTGAGATGCAGGTTACATAGGACAGCTAAAGCAGATGTTCAATTCCTTATTGACTAATTTGAGAGTAATGAATCTATAACTCCCAGCATCATCTAATAAGTATATATTTACTTTTGATGCAACACAGCCATTTGAGCTGTGAGAAGTTGCCCATGTGCATGGCTGCTTCCTGAGTGGTAGAGAGCTGGGTGACAACATGGAAAACTGTGACTTCACATAGAAGGAACATGGACTTCAGACCTGGGCATGTCTGAGCAAATGTCTTGGCATGGCCATTTTGCAGCCATGCAAACCTTGACACATTCCTTGACCTTCCTGAGATTTTTTTTCTCCCCGAGTGAGGTGAAAGGTTATAATGCCTATCTCATAGGGTTCATGTCAGAATTAAATGAGGCATCCAATCCAAGGACTAGCTCATGTTGGAAGCCTGGGAATGCTTCTATCAATATTTTGGGGAATGTAGCTTGCCTTTCCAACATCCAAATGAAACTGGCTTGCTTAAATGTAACAGCCATTGTCCTGTGAGTCCTGAAGGGTCTGACCTCTGGAGGGGAAGTGGGCACTCTGAGATCTCTGCTGAGGTGGTGAGGTTGATGGGTGCTAAGGGCACAAATGCCTGTCTCCTTTGGTTGGCTTACAAGATTACAGACACGATGTTTACTATATAAACTCAGAAGCATCTTTGGGGGTCTCCTGTCTGCCTCATGAGGTCTAGCTGTCCCTGGACCTTGGGTCCAGTAAAGAGATGCCTTACAAAGTCATTCAGCACACAGGGTTGTACTTAATCCCACTTCCCTGCAGGGCAAGTGTATATGTGGAGTGTAGGCTGCATTACATACTTTAAACCCTAACAGAAAAACTATATTCACAACCTAAACTGGAAGTTGTAGGATTCTAAAATGGCAGGTGGCCAGAAAAGAATCCAAAATTCTCATTTCAAAATAGAAAAACCAAAGTTCATTTATAGTTTCATTCACTCAAATGTGTGAGTGCCTACCACCTGCAGGTGCTAGAGAACCCTGCTGAAGCAGGATGGGTAGGGCATGGGCGAGGGAGGGAAAGGGGACATGCAGGGCCTGGGAGAGCATGTGGCAGGAGGCCCTCCCTAGCCTGTGGGGTCTGGGAAGTCCTGCCCGTCATAAAGTTGAGACTTGAGGGAAGAGGAGGAGCCAGGTAGGTGCAGGGAGCTCTGGGAAGAAAGCTGCCAGCAGAGGGGACTGTGTGTGAGAAACTTGGGTGAGGGCAAAGCGCACGTGGATGTCACTGAGAAAGGAGGCATTCGGGACCGTTAGGTGAGGACTCTGGCAAGGCTGGGTGGATCCGGCCTGGCACATGAGTCAGGATGAGGACTGAAGACTGTTTCAGGGTAGAAGAGGCCGTTGAAGCATTTCACACAGGAAATACAACCAGGTTCACATTTCAGAAGGATGGCCCTGGCAGTCAAGTGGAGAATTGGCAGCAGGATGCAGGAGCAGGGAGACCTGTTGAGAGAGCACTGACATTGTCCAAGAAAGAGGCAATGGTGATGTGGGCCTTGGCAGTGGACAGAAGCAGGAAGAGATGCTCCACCATTTGTGAGAGCACATTGAAGGTAATTAGGGCAGGAGGGTAGGCAGAGCAGGCCAGGCCTGGCCCAGGCTGAGCTGCTTCCCTAGGGAGTCATGTGACTCAGCTGAGGCACAGTAAGCTATGCTCTCCTACAGGTAGGAATGGCAATAGTTTTCCTCCTGGAGGCTTGGTGGGGTATTTTTATTTTATTTTTTTTATCAGTATTAGTTGAGGTCAACTTCTTGACCTCTGAAGCCCTAGCTTCTAGCTGTTTGCTAGCCTTGTAAATGCATGCCAGCTGAGCATTATGGGCTTGGGGCTGTCAGGAGATGATGGTAGTTCTGTTGCTTCAATTCAGCTAGGCCCAGGTGTGGAGAGTGGGTTGGGGTTTCAGCTTCTCTTTCAATGTCTTTATGCCTCATTGTTCCTAGATAGCTAAAAAGCTAGTGGGTATTTCTAAAGATGGTGTTTTAAAAAAAAAAAAAACTGTAGGAATGTAAACATATGAAAGAGATTAAAATGCTAACATCTTTTTTTTACCAATACATTAGTAGTGGGATGTTTTATAGAAAGCTTATACTGATGAGATCAGTCGTGTAGCTACTGATTTTAAAAGTCATCCAGTGTTTTGAATGTCCCTGCTACTGCATAAGAAGTGATACCGAGATGGTGATTTCCTGTTGGTCCTAGTAATGAGGTGTGCCAATTGGCCCATTCCTAGGAAGTACCACTTGTCAGTTGAGAATAACAACTACTTGGAGATCTGATCAAAGTGGATGAAGCCTGGGAAGGTTCGTTTCTCCCAGAAAGTTCAGAGCTAATGGGCACTACCATTGGTTTAGTGGCTAAAGGATGTCAGCTGAGATCTGGCTCTAAGTCCCATGATGAATGCTATAGCTTCAGCCATTGCATGTGTACTTTAGGATAGGAGGAGGAGGAAGATAGGGACAATGGGGTGCACCTCCCCGCTGGTTAATCTCCTATAAAGAGCTCACTAATAAACTCATGACTCTCACTGGCCATCCTTAGGAGTGAAGGAAGCTGGAAATGAAATTTAAGTCAAACGTAATTTTTAACTTGGTTCCTTGTCATTGCAAAAGTTGAGGGAGGGAAAGGAGACAACCTGCTACAAACATCCAGCCTGAAATGAGGAAAGACTTCATTTTTTGCACAACCCCTTTGTTCTTTGTTGATTCCAGGCCATCGGGAATGCCAAAACCACTCGGAATGACAACAGCAGCCGCTTTGGAAAGTACATTCAGATCGGCTTTGACAAAAGGTACCACATCATTGGGGCCAACATGAGGACCTACCTGTTGGAGAAGTCCAGAGTCGTCTTTCAGGTGAGTGAGGGACTGGGGCCTGTTGTATTTTTGCCCCACATCTGATGCTGCCTGCCCCACTCCCCGTGCCCAAAGAGCAGCTCATCTTTTGAGCCTGGATTTGGATGTACTTGGTCTTCTGCTTTCCTTTTGTTGATGGTATTCATTTCAAATGAAACAGGAATTTGGCCTCAAAGTCCTTTACCTTGCATTGCTTTTTGATTCAACCAACAAACTGAGGGCCTCTAATGTGTCAGACCTGTGCTAGACCCCAAAGATGCAATCGAGAATAAAATCTGTTTCCTTGTGGATTTTCAGTCTAATGATCAGGGACTATCATATGTACAGTCTGTGATTTGAGCTTTCGCATGAACCTTAGTAGGTTGAAAGTGTATCCGTTTTCACATTTGGCTCCTTGGTTTACTTTTCAGTAAGTGAGTGGAGTTCTCACTTCTTCCCAGGCTTGATTGGTCTCAGCTTACCTTCCATTTCCTCCTGCCAACAGGGCCGTGCCTCTAGGTGACTGCCCTCCCCTGGCAGCACACGGTTCAGCTCACAACCCCATCCACAGCCTCTTGTAGCTCCCTTTTGTCCTCATCACTGAACCAAAGTGACAGTGCATGTCCTGAGGCTGGCACGCTGCTCCCCTGGGTGAAGTGGCTTCCTGGTGCTCACATTTTGGCTACCTTCAGAGGAGACATTGGAAGGCTTCGGAATCCAATCCCTTCAGCTGCTTGTCTTAGATAGCTCCGTGCCGATTCTTAGCAAACACCCAATGAATTCAAACAAGCTCTCCCCTCTCCTTTTTGCCTGGCTGTCCTTGGTACCTCCTGGTTGGTTTCCCAGCCCCACATTCTCGCTTCTGTAGTGCCGGGGCTGGCCTCTTCTGGGTACAGTCCAGGGTGCCCTGCGGCCTCTCCCTGGCACCCCTTCCTGAGCTTTCCTTTTTCTCACCACTGTCCCTTGGCCAATTTAAGCCATTCTGGCTTCAAGTGTCCACCAGAAGTCCCTTCCTAGTTGTGGACCTTTCCTGACTGCTCTGACTCGGTGAGGCAGCACAGCTTTCACTTAGCTCCAAGCTTCTCAGAGGAGAATGTTCACAGCAAGGAAATTATAAGCCCCGGAGCATTAGTCGAGCAGCACAGAATACATACCTGCTGATTGACTGACTCTCCATTTGTGGAATAACAATGATGTCTTATACAGAAGGAAAAAGAAAATGCAGGCTTTTGTGTAAGTCAAGAGGTAAAACTCGTCAGTTTAGGAGAACCCATAGCACATGGAAAATCTGGCAGTGGGAATTGAAGGTGGCAGGGCTATGGAAACACGGAAGGTGGTGGGTTCAGTCCCCCCCCACACCTGGAGCATCTGGGCTCGGAATAGATGAGAGGGTTATCTTTGCCTTAAAACTTTGAAAGTTTTAAAGTCTTTGCCTTAAAACTCATTCACCTTTTCCTCCTCCAGGCAGATGATGAGAGGAATTACCATATCTTCTACCAGCTCTGTGCTGCCGCCAGTCTCCCAGAATTTAAAGAGCTTGCACTAAGTAAGTCAGCAGGTGTATACTGTGCTCAGGGTGGGCGACAACCACTGGAACAACTTAAGAGGCTCTGCGGGTGCCTGGGTGCTCTGCTCAGAGTCCCCTGATACAGGTTCCTGTCTGAGCTCTGTCCTGAGACGGAGTTGTTTGTTCTTTGTCGATTCCAGGCCATCGGGAATGCCAAAACCACTCGGAATGACTCCCTTACACCTCTCAGAACCTCCCCACCCAATTAGTAAAATAGTATTAATTGTATCCAGTCTGTCTTCAACAAAAATTGGGTGAAGGAATAGGAGGCAGGGTTGGAAGCATGTTTTGCATGGCATGAAAGACTGTCCATGTGTCATTATTTTGAAATGTGTTTTTACTCTAGGCATCATGAGATATGTGTGCCTTCCATAAAGATGTAGATTTGGATGATGCATATCATTCGCTCAGGGCTAACATGTTTTAGGATTAAGTTTTAGAATTGAGACAGAGGGAAGGGTGAGGATAAAGTGGGGATGGATATAAGCCAGGTGTGGTGGGCACACCTATGATCCCAGCTACTGGGGAGGCTGAGGCAAGAGGATCCCGATTCTGATGCCAGCCTGGGCAACTTAGACATTATCTCAAGATTAAAAACACAAAGGGCTGGGGGTGCAGCTCAGGGGTAGCTTGCCTAGCACACTTGAGGTCTTGGGTTTAATCCCCAGTACTGCTAGGGGATGAGGAGTGAGAAAAAGACAATGGGAATGGCTCTAGTCATAAGGCAGAGGCATGGATATTGCCACAGATGATGGGGTGGGGCTCAGATGAGTGAGACAGTGCTGCCACACGGTCTGATCCCATTTAAAAAGGCCTGGAAGCTTCTGGAACACCTGCATTGGAGCACTGGAGGGAAATGGAGCGACCCACAAAAGTTACCGCTCTACTGGAGCCAATGCACGAGTCCCCAAATGTCACCATCAGATGGATGGGTCCATCCTTGGCTTCCACTGATGAACGTATTAGCAAGTCTCACTTGCTTTGAGGTGGCTGACGTGGAGCTAGGAGTAGTGGAGGTGTTTTAGTTATATTCCCCCCTGCTGGGCTAAAAGACCTGAGAAGCACAATTACAGAGGAGAAATGTTTATTTGGGCCTCATAGTTTCAGAGGTCTCTATCCATAAACAGCAGGCTCCATTCCTTGGAGCTCAAGGTGAGGCTGAACATCATGGAAGAAGTGTGGCAGAGGGAAGCAGCTCACCTGATAATGAGGAAGCAGACACTCCACTTGCTAGATACAAATATATACCCCAAAGCTGTGCCCCCAATTCCCACCTCCTCCAGACACACCCTTTCTGCCTTCAGTTAATCTCTATCGGGATTAATTCACTGATTGGGTTAAGATTCACATCCCAATCATTTCTCCTCCAAACCTTCTTGCATTCTCACAAGTGAGCTTTAGGAAGACACCTCACATCCAAACCATAACAGGTGGGTAGGCTTTAGTTCTTGATTCCGTACCACATACCATCTCTCCTTGGACCTAGAGCCTCTATTTGAATCCTGTGGTCTGGGGAGCATTGTGTACATGGGATATTGATAATGTAGCTGTGTCCTTGGAGCCCATGTGTGGGATAAGGGCGGGCCTAGGGCTCAGCAGTATCCTGTCCCTGGCCTGGTGTCTGTACTTTAGGAGCTTGTGGGGAAAGTGAAGCACTATCGGATGATGTGAAGAGCTGGGTATCTAGGAAGAGGCTGGTTGGTCTCCATAGCTGTGAGAACAAGACTAATGAGACTTTGTAATCTCTGATCCTAATATAAGCTATCCTAAGGATCTAGCACCAGACATACCTGTGCTCTCAGTCGCTAAAATCTATCCAAAGGCTCCAATATCGGTTTGCTCTCTTAACTCTGCTTCTCAAATTCTTGTAGCATTTGATGCATATGTGTCATGCAACTTAGCATCCATTCATCAAACTACTCGGGCCATGTTAGATGCTGGTGACATAATATTAAACAGTTGTGGGTCCTGCTTTCACTGAGCTTGTCAACCTCAGTACCGGGTGGTGAGGGCTATGCTGCAGGAAGCGTAGCTGGGGCAGGCCAAGTTTACCTGTGAAGCCATGTTTTTAGTCAGAACCTAGGGAGGAAGCTGTGGTTTGTCCTTTAATTTGTCCTTCAGGACCTTGAAGCCAGCACCTTCTCTCATCCTCTGGTTTGTCCTTTAATTCTTCATAAGTTTGATTCTCCCGGGGACATTATTGCTTCTCTGAGGACAAGGAGAGCGCATTGCCTTTCAAGCAGGGTGGTGCTGAGCAGTCCTTGTCTGAGCACTGCCCTGACCTGCCACCTTTAGGCTCTGATGTAGGCTCAGTCACAAGTGGCCAGGTAGGCATTCACACTGTGGCTATTGCCATCATCTTTTCCTTCCCAGAATGGGGCAAGAGCCCAGAAGAGCTTTTCAAGGCCGGTCTGCAAGACATGAGATATATTTTCCCTTCTGATCAATTTTACAACGAACAAATACTGACATGATCCACTTGACAGTATTGGGGCCATTTTGGTCACAAATGTAACTTGAATAGGAAAGAAATCATCCTAAAAATTTCACTTAACATGATTTGTAATTGAGCTTAGAATGGTTTTTCCTTGTATATCTGTGCAATGTGCAGATTCCTTGGGTTCCTAGCTGAGCCACTTGAAAACTACCCAGTCTCTTGCATCATGGAGTGAAATGAAGAGGCTTTGGTGTGAGTTAGGCTTACAGATCTCTTGGAAGATTTTTTTAGAAGTACAATGATAGTGAATAACTAGTGAATAAATGACAGTAAATCTCGTACAGGTGTAAAGGACCCATTTTTTCCTTGTGTTCATCCTTCAGATGTTTAAGGAATAATTTCCTTTTCTTGGTTACTTCTGTAAGTGTACTGATGCAGTTTTATTAATAACGTCTTCAGCCTTGCACAGGTCAAAACCTTGCATCCCATTTGCAGTGCAAGCTGGTGGCCTTGGCCTTGAAAGGCTTGATTAATTTCTACTTTGTGGTCTGCCCACTACCTGGACCAACATCTGCGTATTGAGCCAGTTAATAATTTGTGGTGTGTTTCTCCTTGGTGATTCTTCTTAAAGAGACCAGAGGATGAGAGAAGGTGCTGGCTTCAGGGACCTGAAAGGAGAGCCGAGATCCAGGCAGGCTGGGAAGACTCCTTTTGTTTGGTTCTTATCGAGAGGCTCTGGAGCATGATCTTCAGAGGCTACTATAGACCTTAAAGCTGAGAGAGGAGACAGTCACTCTGTTCGGATTCAGAGAATGCAGGTAGTCCCTGCAGCTGTAAGCCTAACTCTGAATAAGTGACGCAGCTGGGCCCGAGTTTGGGAACTGGGAGCTGGCAGGACCCATGGGTGTTCTGTCTTAGAACATCAGGCAGCAAGGCCCTGGGTGTTGACAATGAAGAGTCTTGGGAAAAGGTGTTGAAAATGCATTCCCTCCAATACGAAAGTGGAGTTGGGTGACTACGTTCAGCTGACACTTGATAATGACCGCTTTAATCAGTGGTTTTGTTGCTGTGACCAAAAGACCTAGTAAGAGCAACTGGGAGGAGGAAAAGCTTATTTTGGCTCGGTTTTCAGCAATTCAGTCCCTGGTCAGCCAATTCCATAACTGTGGGCCCAAGATGAGGTAGAACTTCATGGCTGACGGGTGTTTGGGAGGAAAGCAGCTAAGGATAGGCCACCAGGAAAAGGCTCCACTCATGGCTTAACAAACCCGTAAGATACATCCCCAGTGACCCATGTCCAGCCACGCCCTACCTACCTCCAGTTACTGCCCAGTTAATCCATGGCAGTAGATTAACCCTCTGATTAGGTTGTGCCTCTCATAATCAAATCATTTCACCACTGAACATTCTTGCTTTGTCTCATAGGAGCTCTTGAAGCTTACCTCATAGCTAAACCAAACAATGAGGTTGTGTTCATGACAATCATAGAATGCCAAAGATATGATCATTTCTTTTTTTTTTTAATCGTTTTAGTTTTAGGTAGACACACTCTTTATGTGGTGCTGAAGATCAAACCCAGTGCTTTATGCATGCTAGGTGAGCATTCTACCGTTGAACCACAACCCTAGTCCAGAAAAATGATCATTTCTACAATTGGGTAATCAGTTAATGGGCTCCCAGGCCCGGACAATCTCTGGAGAGTGTGCGCAGCCCTTAAAGCCCTATGTTCTTCAGTTTGCTTATCTGCAATGGTGGGAGTTAAAGTGGTTTTCAGGTAGGCCCTGCAGAAATCATCAGATGAAACATCTTGAAGAGTAAATACAAAGAGGAAGAAAGAATTGATTTAGAAAGCCTTGGAAACTGTGCCATGCCAGAGCTCCCAGAGTGGTTAGCTATGAAAAAGAACTATGCTGTCTTCAGCAAAGAGAATTCTTAAAAATTCACTTCTCCTGAAGCTGTGAGTGAGGAAGAGTTGTTATCCTTCCTCCTCCAGTTCAAACGCCTTGGACTGAATCATCAGTGTGTTAAGTTACTCCTCCAGAAAGCTCTCCTGCCACACCACTGCAACTCTGTTCATCCCTGTAGGCAGTGGAGCTTGATGGTTACAGCTCAGGTTGTGTTGTCAAACTGGGGTTTAGGGCTAAGTTCTTCTCTCTAGCTGGGCTTGGCAGTGCTTGCTTAATGGACCAAAGGAGTTTTTAAAGTTTATTGTGGCTTGGAACAGAGGGTGCCCTCTAGGAACATGAGGGAATGGGGTGAAACAAGAAAGGTAGGTGGGGACCGCATGGACAGAAGGAAGAGTTGATCAGGGACAGGAAACTGAGGTCAGGAGTTGGGAGCAGTAGGCTGTAGCCATGTCTTGGAAGGTCTGAGAGAAGGTTCTAGGCTGATAATTTTTTCTACTGACCTCTAAGGGGCTTCAAACAGGGGAGCAGTGTGACTGAAATTAGCAGCATTTTGGAGGTATGTTTGGAAGGACATGAGCAGAAGCAAGGAGTTGGGTTTAGAGTCTTTTGCAACAGTCCCCAGACAACAGATGCTGAAGGTCAGACCCAGGGCAATGGCAGTCTGCAGAGAGGAAAATTCTGTAGAAGTTCTTAGGAGATAAATCAGAAGGATGAGGTGTTGGAGGACTGGGAGCTGCTGTGAAGCTGCGGCTAAGCACGCTCAGCTGATGTGCATTCAACCGTGCATGCTTGGGTCAAGGGAAAAGAATTGAGCTGGGGTTTTCTGGGAGGAGGAAAACCAGCCCATGTACAGACTGGACATCCTGTCAGAACCAAACATTATGTACTCAGAACGTGAAGTACCAGGCAGAGTGACACCACACGGAGTACTTTGTGAAAGACAAGTGATTTTTAGAGGGTAAACTTGATAGCAGGCAATTGTTACTCTAAATGACTTCCGTGGCCGAGTCCCTTATTTAAGCTGCTTTTACCATCCTACTTGTAGTACAGGTCCTACCCGAGGCTTGTTGCATTTTTGCCTCCCGATAAGCTTGGCTGAGACTTGTAAGACAACCCGGACCGCTCTTTACCAGCTGTGCCAAGGCTTCCTCAGAGGCCTGACAGTGTTAAGCTGGGGAATGAGAACAAACCCCTGAGGATCTCCGCCTGCGCTTGCTCAAGTGCCTGAACAGCTCGAGTGTGCCCCAACCTTTCCCAACAAATGAACAGGAAGACCAGGTCGCCTGAGGCACATCACAGCCCCTCATGTTAAATGAAGTGTTCAAGCAAAGATTATCTAGAGTCATGGAAGTCTGTGATCTAGGAGGTGATTCTAACTGTGCGTTTTACTTACTTATTTTGGGTCTGTCTTAAAAATAAATCTGGGCAGGATCCCATTAAGCTGAACTTTTGCATCATCTATTTATCTTCTGTATTGACATGTTTTTCCCACACCAGTTTTATATAAATACGGTAGCACATTCTGGCAGAGTAATGTAATTTTTGTGTATTATTCAGTTTTCTCAGATTTGCCATTATGGATGAAGAATACTTTAAAGGGTTTCACAACTGGCTGGAACTAAAATTTGGTCTGGAATAGCATGCTTGGGAAATAGAACTCCTTGTGGGTCATGACCTGTGGGTGACACAGGGAGAAGGGTCTCTGCAGTGTTTGACACTTGACTTCCTTGCCTCCACAGCATGTGCAGAGGACTTTTTCTATACATCCCAGGGAGGAGACACAGCCATCGAGGGTGTAGATGACGCAGAGGACTTTGAGAAGACTCGGCAAGCTTTCACACTTCTTGGTAAGGAGCTTCCAGTGTGAGAAATGGGCCTGGAGGGGGATCATATGGAGGGGTGGCACCATGGTGTCCACATGCCTTGCCAGTCTTCATGAGCTAACACGGGGGAAGGCTTCATGCCCTTGGTAAATGACACCTCGCCCTTTTTCATCCCTACCCTTGGGCTCCAAAGATTAAAATTAATGGCTCATCTCTAAATCAAAACCAAAAAAACGGAGCTGGACAGGTGGGCACAGTGGTGCATGCCTGTAATCCCATTTCCTTGGGAGGCAGAATGATTACAAGACCAAGGCCAGCAATTTAACAGAACCCTCAGCAACCTAGAAAGTATACCCCTTGTCTTAAAAAGAACTAGGATATACTCAGTGCTAAGGCACTGAGGGTTCAGTCCCCAGTACTAAAAGAAAAGGTTTTGAGCCAGGTGCAGTGGCACCCATTTGTAATTCTAGCTAGTCAAGAAGATGAGGTAGGATCACTAGTTCAAGGCTAACCTGGGTAACATAGAGACCCTGTCTCAAAAATTAAATGGGTGGGGATGTAGCTCAGTGGTAGACTGCCCCTGTGGGCAATCACCCTATCCCCCCCCCCCCCGCCCAAGAGAAAAGAGAAAAAGCAAGGTTTTGAAAGTCTCTTCCAGGCACTATGATCTATCCTGCTTCACTCACTGGGCCATTGACACCAACAAAGGAAAGCTCAGTGTAGCTGTGCCTTCTGTGCAGTGTCTGGGTTCAGAGGTGGTGTGTTCTAGCAGGAAGAACACTGGGCCAAATTACCTGTGTGCCACAGTCACGGAATCGGAGCTGGAAGCAGACTGTAAAAGCCTGGAAGCTCTGTCCCACTTGCAGTGTTGGTTTTGTTACCTGTTTCCATGGAGACTTTAGCAGTGGGATTCTCAAGGCAAGAAGTTCTGTCTGTCCTTTAGGGACAGAAGGGGACACTAGAGCCAGAAGAGGTTGCAGCTCCACTCTTTGAAGAGAAGAGCCCCCAGGTAGCAAGGTGGAAGGTGAGCCTTTCTTAATTGGGAAATGGACATGCTCAGTTCCTGGGACCTGCAGCCACGAAAAGGAAAGCCTGAGAATTCCGCCCTAAACTAGCAAGTGACTCAGCATGGCCCCATGTCGTTCCAGCCCCATCCTTGATAGAGAATTCAGCTTCTGAGCCTCGTGGCTAACTCAGTGCAGTCTGTTGTGTTCTGTGGTGTTGTCAGGGAAGTTTTATCCAATAGCAAAACGAGGCATGGCCTCATCCCTATGTAGGGAGGAACCCAGGCCCTTGAGTGCTGAAATCCCCATGTCGGACATATCTTGGTATAACTGGCCCATATAGTTCATGGGTACAAGGACAAACCTTACCAGGAGATAGAAACTATGCTGGTTATTCCAATGGAGAAAAATGAATGTGAATATTTGACTAGAGCCTCAGAGCGTTAATAACTATGAAGAGATGAAAGGGGACTTTAAGGGTCCAGAAGTAGTAGGTACAGAGGCTATGGCTAGGGCAAGGAGAGGCATCCAGTGTGGGAATTACTGAGTAGAGGAGCCCTGAGCCTTGGTTGAGCTTTAGATGACATCTAAGATTATGGTGAAGAAACTTGCCTGAGGGTGGAGGCCAGCAGTCTGCACAAGCCAGGTGCACTGGTCCTGGAGTGGGGTAAGGCCTGGCCTACTGAGGAGCTTCTGATGCAGGCTTGAGTATTGAGGGAGGCACAGTGGGAGCTCAGCAGGGAGGTTGCCAGGCACCCAGATGACAGTCATAACTAGGGAGGACCAGAAAGGGGGAGGGAGATGCCTCCCTGCTGCATGGCCTCATGGATCACTGCGGTGCCCTCTGTGGAGCAAGCCTGGCCTTCCTCCAGCAGGCACAGGATGGCAGCCCCAGTGTCAGCAGGGCAAGGAGGGAGGACGGGAAGCTGAGAGGATGTATTGAGAGGCACCCACTACTGCCACAGCGTCACATGCCTTATTCTCTAGGGCTGGGGGGTTTGAGGACACTTGACCTTGATGTGAAACAGGATTTATTTTTTTGTGTTGAGGGCAGAACTTGGCACTCGGGGCCTTGCCTGTGCCGGGCAGTGCTGTGCCACTGAGTTACACTTCCAGCCCAAGCAGGCTGCGTTCTGCCAGTTAGACAGACAGGAGAAGGCCTCTGGCAATTGGTCCTCTGTAGTGCAAATGCAAGCAGTGGACAGGAGCTGGTAGGAAGGGGTGAGTCCCTCCAGGGCTCTAAGACGGATACTTTAATCTCAAAGCAGATAGTGCTTGTGAAATTATTTTCATAAGAGTATTAAATAATACTCTAAAAATTAAATAATACTCTATCCCTCATCTTTTTTTTTTTTTAAAGAGAGTGAGAGAGGAGAGATTTTTTTTTTTTTTTAATATTCTAGTTCTCGGCAGACACAACATCTTTGTTGGTATGTGGTGCTGAGGATTGAACCCAGGCCGCAGGCATGCCAGGCGAGCGCGCCACCGCTTGAGCCACATCCCCAGCCCCTTCCCCATCTTTTTAATTCCAGAGGTTGGCACACTTTTTCTTAAGAAAAAGCCAGGTGGTTTTTGTTATACCTCCTTATCTTTGCTGTCGTAACACAGAAACAAAGATAAAATGTGGTAACACAGAAAGACACAGATAAAATGTGAATGGGTGTGGTTGTGTTCTAATAGAACTTTATAAAAAAGAGACCATGGGCCACAGCTTCTCACAGTGAGATTCTGCTTATTCAGAGTACCCCATACTAAGAAGAGACTTTGTTCACTTTGCCTAGTTCATGTTTGGGTTGTCCACTTCACAGATTATCTGGGAGAATTTGTAATTATAGCTTGACATGGCTGTGTATCCTGTTTATATAGGTTTACTAACTGTTTTTTTAAGCTTAAGTATTGCCTGAAGATAAGTAGCTGCAGCTAGGGAGGCATGTGGGGCAATAACTATTACTTCCTAAACCCAGTGGTAGTTTTACAGATATCTTCATTATATCTTTCTGTTGCCTTTCCTTATAAGTCTGAAATATATTGTAACTTAAGGAGATACGATAATGGCTTTAAGCTAAACATAAATTTTAAGAGATTATCCATGCCTTTGACAATTTACTTGGGTAAATAACAAATTTGACAGTCCTCTCTGCTTCCACCATTGTTCTGGGCTAGGTGTGCATGTCTGTCACTGAGGGCATACGTAGCATGGAGAGCAACCACCCCCATCTGGGCTGGCCGTGAGCCAGCTGGCTGGGCAGCCCCTGGAACAGCCACCTTAGGGACTGTTTCTACTTTTCTTTCCCCATTGGCACAGCGGATGTGTCGCAGATGTCTGCAGGATATTGCGTTGAGGGAGAAATGACTGCAGATAAATGACCATTCTTATTAAACTCATAAAAAATGTCCATAAGGTGCTTGGTTGAAATGAAGTCCAAAATGAGTCTGTGTGATTGCTGCCTCTCGTACGCTCTTGGAGAAGTAAAAATAGTGGCATGACCCATCTGGTCTACTTGGGACAATCGAAGTTGAATATTTTTCCTTTCAGTCCAGCAGCCCTTTTGCCCTCTGCACTGTTATTGTGAGTGGTAATTACATGGTGCACAGCCTGGATCATTTTAGGAGTCATTGGCCCAGGATGAAAAAATCAACCTTTTTTTTTTTTTTAAGTCCTTAAAAAGGGTAAAATGTCCTTTGTATCATAGCATGGATATTGAGTGTCATTCATTCACTTTTTTTCTTGCAGGAGTGAGAGAGTCCCATCAGATAAGCATTTTTAAGATAATTGCTTCTATCCTGCACCTGGGAAGTGTGGAGATTCAGGCTGAGCGGGATGGTGATTCCTGTAGCATATCAGTAAGTCGCACCCCAGCACCAGAGATAAAATGGACACAATTTATTCCTACAGTTCGATATGACTGAAATGTGTTTCTGCACTTAGAGGGCACCCCTAGGTTATTCATTCTTAACAGGAATGATTTCTGTTGACTTACTGATAATTTTTTTTTAAAAGAACCAATCCATTTCAAATCGGCTGCCATCAAATGTCTATCAGCGAGGGCAAGGAATTTAGTGGCTCTTCAATAAATTCTTTCTGATGGGCTGATTTGCCAACTCTGAGGCACATGGGATTTCACAGCATGCCATCAATCTATGGAGTACTTTCTGGGCTCCAGACTGAGCTTGCTACAACAAGGAGATGAGAGTATTGGGTCCCATACAGGACAGGGGACCTTACTGGCCAGGATTAGGCCAGTATGAGGCAGACTTTGCAGGACTTCCTCAGATGTCTCAAATCTGAAATACTCCACAAAGGCTCATGATAAAGTTGTGTCCCTGGTGCCCAATGTAGTTAGTGGCTGATACCTGGTAGATACGTTGTCTACGTGGGTGATGGAGCAGTTCCCAGTGCGGTGGTACAGACGGCAACTGTTGTGTCCTATCTGGAATTTAGTGATGAGGGCCTAGGCTAAAACTGGTGTTCTGACTTTGAGTAGATGAATCTGCACCTATTTCTCCCTATTCTGTGCCCGTTTATGACTAGGTCCTAGGGAGATACAAAATGTGAGTCTTATTTCCAAGGACATGGGTTTAAATAACGCAATGCGGGGGGGGGGAGGGGGGGGACAAAAGGTGCCACGGCCACTCACAAGGTGTTGCTTTTTCCATTGAGCAAACATTCACTAACCTCTTGTAGATATGAGGTTTAGGGTTATCAAAAGGTCAAACTGGCCCTACCTAGTGGGGGGAGACCTGAGCTCTATCTGGGATCAGACTGAGCTCACCACTGGTTTCCTCTCCATCCCACATTTTCCTTAAATGAGAAACAGGCTTGGGTTCGAAAAGGTCCCTGGGTCCGTTGCCATCCTCACCACAGACTCTGGAGCCCCCACTTGGGCCTGTGGAAAAGGAAGGAATGTTGGGGCTGAAGGTATCAGGTGAGCCAGAACGGTTTCAGACCCCTGTTATTTATGTGCCTATTTATATGCACATGGGGGTACCCTGGGGCTAGCAGTGTTGCTAGGAGAGAAACAGGCGTGCCTGAGGGGTGGTGGGTGAGCCTCTAGGATAGGCCAGACCCTCCCTAAACTGATTCCATATCGCCATTTGAATATAGTTCAATGAAGTCTTTCTCTTAACAAGAAAGTCATAGAGGATCTGTGCCTCCCCTACGCACATACCCCAGCAAATGCCCCACAGATTCTTAAGGCAAAGGCATACTGTTTGGTGTCGGGGACAGGTAATATTAGGAATCTTTGCATTAACAAGCTCCTGGTTTAGGCTGGTAAGATGCAAGAAATATGACAAAGTTTCCCTGAGCCTCCAGCCCACTGAACAACTTCTCTGTCTCATCCTCCATGATGGACTCTTTTTGGCTGGGGAGGGACTGGGTCAGTTCTGGGGATCAAATGCAGGGTCTCAAGCATGCTGAGCCTGTGCTTTGACATTGAGCTGATGCCCCAGCCCCCTGTCTAGGATTCTCGGCACTCTATACCTCTCCTCCCTGGCATTTAGCATGGCTTCTTGGCATTTATCATGTGATTCTTTGATTTGCTGCCCCACCCTACCCCCCAAACTCTGTGCAAGCAGAGACTGCCCTTGTTCAATAGCGTTTATAAGCACCATGTCCGAGACTCAGTAGGCACTCAAGAAGTAGACAACTGGATGAATGGTTGTTCTCTAGGACTTGGGGGTGATGAAAATGAAAGGAAGTATGCATGAGATGGGCAGAGATGTTGGCAAGGTTGATGGTGAAGCATGAGAACCAGGCCAGGAGTTCCTGAGGACCTGCAGTAGGGTGTGGGGCCTGGTTCGTGCCATCTTAGAAAGGACAGCCTTAAATGTCTCTGAGCTTACAGCTGGTCTTTCACACCTGGCCTCTGAGGACCTTCAGGGGAGAAGGAAAGTATGTCTTAGGGACTGATCAATGCCTGCACCCCTACTAAACTCTATGATCAATGCCTGTACCCCCACTAAACTCTAGAACCACATCTGTTATGGTCTCTGCCTGTCACATTGGCACTTGTAGAGTGTTTGTATGAGGTCCATGCCAAGGTGGGACCATCAGGGCACACTTGGAAGAGGAGTTAGAGGATGCAGGTGGTGAAGTGGGAGGAACTTCGGCAAATCGGAGCCCAGATGGGGATAGCACCCCTTCTCTTACCAGGCGGAGGGGGCAGGAGCCTTGTGAGCGCAGGCCGTCAGTCTAGACTGTCTCAGATGGCTCTGCAAGTAGAGGGTGTCTAGAGGACAGTGAGGGCAGTGACTTGAGCCAATACTGCCGAGACTCAAATCCTGCTTCTGCCACTTCCCAGATGCAGGACTCCGGGAAATTGCCATGCCTCTCTGCATCTCTTGCCTCCTGTGCAGTGTAGACGATGCCACCTACCCCAGCATGAGGAGGAGGATAAAACACAGCCCTGTGTGGAAAGGCCTCAGCTCTCAGCCTGTGGATTGAGGTCATGACTGTCACCATTCTTGATGTTAGACCCAGAGTGGATCTCGGGAGCATCTCTCTCACCATATGGGGGAGGAGAATCTAAATCGCAGAGAGAACCTCTCAAAGGCCAGAATGACAGTTAATGGCACAGCTGGGACAGGGTCCCCACTGTGTTCTTCCCCCTATACCACCGCTAGTCTTGCCCTTTGAGCTGGGATTACCCTCTGCTTGCAGGCAGCTCCCATTGGTGCTAAGCAAAGCAGGGGTCTGAGTACAAGCTTGAGAAATGCATGTTAAGTGTTTGTAGCCTCTCAGAGATGGCTTATTCCTCGGGCCCATGGGGTGGGGGGCTTCCTCTTGGAAAGGTTGTCTACCCATAAGCAGTGTGCCTTCTGCTTGGTAGTTTTTATTTTTAATTAAAACATGAGAATGTGTTCCATGATCGCCACAGTTACCTTGGAGATCCAACAACATCCAATTACTTGGACACCAGAGGCAATTTGTTCCTTGAATTTGGCACTATGGGCCCATAAAACTAATCTGTTACCTATAATGCTGGCTATTTTTAATGGATTTAGTATCAGTTAATTATGTGTAAGTGTAATGGCATGATGTTAGATCAGTTTCAGTTAGCACTTTTAATCAGCAGTCAGAAGCCAGTGTGAGTAGGGAAGCTCACTGCAGGGTGGGTCATCTGTCCCTGGGTGGACAGCAGAATTCCTTAACTGTGGCTCCTCTCCACTGCTGCACTTAGAGCATGCAGCATCAGGAGTGGAGAGGGCACCTGGGAGCAGGCCTTGGTCCTTGTTTTTGCTGCTGGCAGGCCTCTTAAATGTTAGGCACAGCACTGCAGATGGATTCCCTAGCAATTAAGAATTTCTTGGAAATAGGTCAGATGAACAAATTGGACATTTGCCACAGCTGAACTTGTTGCTTGCCAAACAGTTCTCAGGCACTAAACTCCATATGGCTTTATATTGGCAGGGGGAGGCTGTAGGGTAAAAGGCTGCTGGCCCAGGGAAGTGGCAGGACACTCCACTGCTGAGCAAGTGTAAGACTGTCCACACCAGCCAGCCCACACCAAGTGGGCACTGGGGCCAGGTGTCCAGGAACCTTGCTGAGCCTCAATTTCCTCATCTGAGTATTAAAGGGGTTGGATCAGGATGGCAATTCCAAAGTTTCCTGGGAACATAGTTTCTTTGGTAAATAAGCTCTCAGTGTTCACAAGGTACATTTAGCAAACCAGTTCAATTGTCTTTAACCTGATGTGGGTAAAGCCAATTAATGCTCTTTGCAATTGTTTCAGAAAAACATGGGTTGTAATGATTTGGGGAGGTTCTTTCTACTCTGACATTACATTTTACATTTGTTTGGGGTAGATGGACTTTAGATATCTTCAGGGGAAAAATGGCCTGAGGATGTGTGTTAAGGGGGAAATGATGATCGTTATCCATGTTGATTTTCATTGAACAAGCCCTTCTTTAAATTTTATAAGGTAGCTTCATCAGAAAATGAGTCCTATGTGCAATTTAGGACCATTAGGAGGGGGCATATGGTGTTCTAAGGGATTCCCTTCCAGCCTGAGAGTTGTTAAGCTCTCCAGCAGGCTCAATGCTAGGTTTGCAGCTTTCCCAAGCAGAGAGGAACCCAGGCCCGGCTTTCTATTGGGCTCTGTGAGTGGACAGTGGGAATTATCCAAAAGACTTACATATTTTTGTGAAGTGAGACAAGACCCTGTGAGGACTTGAGTTATTCAGTGGCTCAGATGCCAGGTGGTGTGATTGGTAACTGACTAGTAGTAGTAGTAGTAGTAGTAGTAGTAGACTAGTAGTGAGTAGACTCCACTGAGGCCATTGGAGGCAGTTTGGTAACTAGTAGGTACATTGGGCAAAGGAGCTCTGGGTCAGCAGGACCCAGGTAAGCAATTGCAACTCCCCAGGGCTCAGCTTTTTATCTATATGGGAAAGAGACTTAAAATGAAGGAATTTCCAGTATCTTTCTAGCTCCAAACTCATGTGATTTTTATCAGTAAAAGTGTTTCAACTGATATTAGGTCCAAATCTTCCACATCTTCACCATGTTATCTAACTTCTCAGGTTAACCTTTCCCAACAGTAAATGCTTTGAGAATATAAGTGGAGTTGAGTTGCATGTGAATTGGTATTACTGTGGCTAAGGCTACAGGGACAGCAGGGAATAAGTACCAGGAGGGACGTCGTCCATTGGATTGTAGCTGTTTTTTGGCCCAGCATGACAGAACACGCCCACTGGCATCTCATGTAATTTGGGATAAGGGGGTTTAAACTTCCCGTTCTGTGTTCTACCCACCCAGAAGGCGGTCAATGCTCTGCCATCCTCACCCCTATATAGAGAAGGAGGAGAGGAGTGCCTTAAAAGGTCTCTCTGGCCTTTTATTTTGAACATGCAGCTAGTTTGATGGGGCACTTGTAAGCAAAGAATTCTGAAGAGCAGGAAGAAGACTGCTTTCCCAGCTGTGGGTTAGCTCTGCACTCGGACCCCTGCAGATGTAAACTGTTGAGTGCTGCCCGATGGCTCCCAACTCTGGTTGGGTCATCCATTCCTGTAGTGTGAATTCCCTTTCTGCTCCTTTCTCTCAGGCAGTTCCCTCTTCCTGGTTACTCAGCAGCACCTTGGCAGTGGAGGAGGAGACAGGAGGGAGTTTAAGTCCTGATAATTTGGTCTTCAGCCAGTGTGATTAGTTGGAGCAACACTATTCTGGCTCTAACTTAGTGGGGGTGTGGTGTATGGGGAGGAGATGAGGTTCTGGGAGGGCTGCAATTGGACTTGTTTTCCTTCTGGGGAGGAGAGAGGATGTGGCTAAGGGACCCAGTCTTTGACAAGTCTCTTCCTCTGTTCTCTCCCCAGCCCCAGGATGAACACCTAAGCAACTTCTGCCGCCTGCTAGGGGTGGAGCACAACCAGATGGAGCACTGGCTGTGCCATCGCAAGCTGGTCACCACCTCAGAGACCTATGTCAAGACTATGTCCCTGCAGCAGGTCATCAATGCACGCAATGCCCTGGCCAAACACATCTACGCCCAGCTGTTTGGCTGGATTGTGGAGCACATCAACAAGGCCCTGCACACCTCCATCAAGCAGCACTCCTTCATCGGGGTCCTGGACATCTATGGGTAGGCCTGCCACCTGTCCCAACATTTGCTCCACCTGATGGTCACCAGGATGGTCTTGCTGGTATTTAAGGGCCAGCAAGGGACTTGAGAACTTCCTGATCTCAACTAAGGGAGCTTAAAATATGTGGGAGCATTTTTGTCTGTCATGATGAACAGTCACTACTGATGTGAGGCCAAGGATGATTAGTGTGTATCGGGATAGAAGGCAGTCCCAAGGAAACAATGGGCCTCATCAAAACACTAGTAGCAGTCGGACACTGTGGCATATTCCTGTAATCCCAGTGGCTTGGGAGGCTGAGGCAGAAGGAGGATCGATAGTTCAAAGCCAGCCTCAGCAACCAGTGAGACCCTGTGTCTAAGTAAAACATAAAAATGGGTTGGAGATGTGGCTCAGTGGTTAAGTGCCCCTGGGTTCAGTCCCCAGTACAAACGGAACATTAGTAGCTCCCCTGTTCAGAAATGATACATCTATTTTTACTGCTGGTCAACTGTGGCCCAGAGAGGGACATGAGTGGCCCATCATCATTCTGTAAGTTAGGGTTTTGTGTGTTGGTCATGTTTTATTTCAATCTGCCATTCAGCCTCACTGAGTATGTCAACCAAAGTGATGATTTTAATGGTGTGATTTTGCCCAGTGCTGTTGGGTGATCATCCTGGCGGACTGACTACCTGGCTAATTGAAAGCACTGTTAATTACAATGCTTTATCCCAAGCGGGGCCAGGCAGCACGGAGTGGTGGAAGGTATGCTTGAGGAGCCGTCGGGGGATTGACTTTCTGTGTCAGTGATGTCATCAAGTAACGGAACAACACTCCATAGATCAGTCCCCCTCTGGGCTTTAGTTTCTATAGCTTCCAATGAAGTTCTGAGGCACATTATCTGGGGTTCTTTCCAGACTCATCTAGAATTCTTTGAAGTTGTGTGAATGGGGTTGCAACTCTACTTGCACTTATCTTCTGACCAGCGTCCTGCTCTCTTTAAGCTAATAATAGATGAAATCCTCCTGGATCTGCAAATCCTAGAAGTCATGGCTTCTGTCTCAAAATAGAAGTCCAGACCCATAGAAGTGCAGCGTCGTCAGAACAGCGCTGCTCTAGCAAAGCACTGCTTAATGGGCCGAAACTCGGCTGGGACGTGCCTGGTGGTGAGGTTGGAGTCTAGAATCCTCACTTAAGGCAGCTTTTATTTTCCCATGCAAAGACAGGCTCTCTCAATTACAGTTGATCTTGCTGTGGATCACTGGGGTTCTCATTTTGAACGATGCCACATGTATGGTGGGAGAAGAAAGAAACCTGATATTTGGCCTCGCAGAGTCCTTGGGAATGGGCTGCAGAGCTGTGTGCACTAGCTAAGTCGTGCAGGAGGTAGCAGAAGGAACTGTAGAATGGTCTACTTGAAGATTTGGACACTCAGTAGTTTGAAGGCCAGTGAGGGCACACTTGTTTGCCTAGTCAAGAAAAGCTTTACGCAGAAGGTGAAGTTTGAACTGGATCCTTGAAGGGAGGAGTCCTGGTAGAATGTGGGAAGTAGGGGAGGCACCTTTGGGAATGGGAGGGAGAAGCAAGGTGTGAAGTGGAACCTTGAGGCTGATGAGGGGCAAAGAGTGGAGAGGACCCTCAGGAGGGAGGTGGGGGCGTGCGTCCTCTCAGACCCTCCTGGGTTTCAGCAGAGTGACAGGCAGGCCCCTTCCCCTTCTGGCCAGTGGAGCACCTGCTTTTTGCTCAGTACTTCCAGTTGCACTTGGGAGAGCATGAAACGGCCTGCACAGTCATTACATTTCCCAAGACACCTTTAGTGTTACCTTCCCAAGGAAGACCTGAAGACACCCAGGTCTCAGCGTCTAACCAGATGCCCTTTATCTGCCTGTGCAAGAATCTTAATTTTATTGAAGCTTTGGTTCAGAAAGATTAGCCTGCAAACTCATTAATAGCCTGTAAAAATATTATGACCTTGATTGTAGTGATAGGTAAAATGTTGTGCCCGACTTCTTTTGTATTATGTGTTTTCTTAACAGTGCCTTGAATTTAAATAGACTATTGCTCCCTTCCCAGGAATTCCCAGTGACAGCCTGCCCAGTGGTAAGAAGCCTCTGGAAGTTAAGCTCCTTGGCCTGCTGAGTATGCATTTGTCAGCTGGGCTTATGCAAGCTAGGATTTTGTGCTTATTTTTGTTAAATTTTTACAATTGAATTTATTTTCCCTAAGCTCCCATGACTGCCCAAAGAGATTTAGAGACAGATTGCAGGGAGGGTTTGTGGTTTGAAAGGTACAGTTGTCAGTAGTTGGGGTAACAATCCAGAGGGCCCAGCCTCCTAGTTTTAGTGTCAGCTCCTGGACTGTGTGTCTCCCTCATACAGGAGCAGCCTGTGGGCTCCTTGGAGAGTATCCAACAGCTTCTCAGAGCAGGTCCCAACACAGGCCACATGCATGCAGCCCCTGATGAGCACTCCAGCGAACTTTTCTACACTTACTGTTTCCTTCCAGACATACTATGATGTTTTCCCTTTTATAAATCCTTGTCCTATCTCGGGAGCTTCCTTTTTTCTTCTTTTTCTAACTGCATTATGAAATGATTCATTCTCCTCTTGGAGAAAAGTAATGGCTATGCATGGGTCTCCATGTCTCAGTGCTGAAGTTACACCCTACAGGCAGAAGAAAGAGTGAGATATGAGCTGGGTTAGGGTTAAGCCAGCTGTCTCCCTGGGCCACTGGATGCTGGGAAAGCCCCTCCAAGCTTTCCCTAAGTGCACGTGCACTCACTTCTCAGCAGCTTGGTCTGCCAGGAAGTTTTTGCATCCACATGGTTGGCTCCAGGCTCACTCTCCTGGTCAGAGGGCATGTGATGAATGACCAGGAAATTAAAACCACTTGGCCACAGACGCACAGGTGGATTGAGTCTAGACACACTGTTGATGTTCTCTCAGGTCAGTGACATCATTTTTTAATCTGGGAGATAATGAATATTTAGAAACTTGGAATAAAGCCATGAACTATCTACTGTCATTTCCCTGCTCCAGTTATGGTGTATGTACTGTCTTACTTTGGATTTGAGACACCTTCCAGAGTTCCACTGAATTTGTCTTGTTTTCTTTAATGTGATGATGACTTGCTACCGTACCCATTGCCCTGTGTACCCTCCTCCCTCCTATTTCGAGCTAATTCCAGTCGCTGGACTTTCCCAATACCTGTGGGAAATGATGCTCTCTAAGGAGCATCTCATCTTCCATGGCATCAGGAAACTCCAGCACTGTATTTATTTAATTCTTAGTGCTGGGCATGGAGCGCAGGAGTGCTCTGCCACTGAGCTATACCCCCGGCTCTTTTTATTTTGAGGCAGTCTTGCTAGGTTGCTAAGCTGCCTCTGCAGGATGATGGTGAACCCTCTGCTCACAGGCCCTCCTGGGCCATCCAGACACCCAGCATCCTGGTGTAAGGACTGCTTGCCTTCATGATGTTCCTCTGTCCCAGCTCCAAAAGGGCAAAGCAAGCAATACCCAAAGCACTTCAGCAAACCCAAGTCAAGCTGTTCCCCTTAACGGAGGGTCTGTGCAGCTTGCCTTGGGGCATTTCTTTCTGGGCAGGGGATGGAGATTAATAGAGGAGAGCCTGGCAGCTTTTGGCTGGGGCTTGCTTTTCAGGTTGCATAAACTTGTTTGCCTCTATGGGCCTGATTAGTTGTAACCTTTTCTTTCTCTTGCCTTCTTGAGGCAATGAGAAATGCATGTCTGCGTTTTAGGGAGAACACACATCGGTCTTTGACTTCAGCCTTCAAAATGCCAAGGTAGTGGGGGCTTTGGCTAAGGCCAGCTGGTCTTGCTGAGAACAATTGCCTGGGAGACCTCTGGAGCAACGCAGGATGTGATAGATTCATGTGTCCTGCAGAGAAATAGTGGGAAGAGGTTGGGAGAAGGAAGCAGGGAAGTGTAGGCGCTAGGAATTGGGAAATGGATTTTGCTGTGACTTTATATCCTTCTCTGTCATGTGTTATTTTATCATGTACTTAGCAATGCAAAAGTAATATCCAACATTTTTTTTTTTGGATTGGGGATTGAACCCAGGGTCAATTAACCACTGAGTCATATTCCAAGCCTTTTGTTTTTTGAGACTGGTCTCCCCAAGTACTCAGGACCTCAGTAAGTTGCGGAGGCCTGGTGAACTCATGATCCTCCTGCCTCAGCCTCCCAAGTTGCTGGGATTACAGGTGTGAGCCATGATAACCACCCAGCTTATTTAGTGCTTTTTAATATTTTTTAAAATATAATTGTAAACAAACATAAAATTTACTATATTAAACATTTTTTAATTGTATAGTTCACTACTATTAAGTTTATTCACATTGTTGGGGAAGTTCCCCATAATTTTTGTTTTACCCAACTAAAGCTCTGTACCCACAAAACAATTCATTTCTCCCTTTCCCAGTCCTCTGGCAGCCATCATTCTCCTCTGTTTGACTATTTTGGATATCGCATGTGAGAATACCTTGTATTTTTCTTAGTGATTGGTTTCACTTAGCACAGTGTCCTCCAGGTTCATCCGTGTTGTAGTATGTGACAGGCTTTATTTTTAAAGGCTGAATGATTTTCCATTTTTTGGTAACAGTTTGTGTATTCATTCTTTCACTGATGGACATTTGGATTGTTCACATCTCTAGGCTTTTGTAAATAATGCTGTAGGGAACCTGGGTATGCAAAAATCTCATCAGGGTCCTGATTTAATTCTGCTCGATGTGTATCTACAAGTTGGATTGCTGAGTTACGTGGCAATTCTGCTTTTACTAATTTGAGCCATTTCCATAATGATTCCACCATTTAACATACCCAACTGTACAGAAGGATTTTACAATATCAGTTGAAAAGTCAACAATCCTCACCAGCACCAGTTATTTTCTGGATTTCTTTGCCTAGTAGTCACCCTAATGGGGTGAGGTAGTATGCAACGGTGGTTTGATTTGCCTTTTTTCTAGTGAGTAATGATGTTGTTATCTTGTACCTCTTGGCTGTTTGTATATCTACTATGAAGAACTATCTACTCAAGTTATTTTGCCCATTTTCAAAATTAGGTGGTTCTTGTTGAGTATTATGAGTTTTCTGCATATTCTGGATATCGGCCTCTTACTGAAAAAAGACTTGCAAATATTTTCCATAGATTGACTAATGATGTATTGTAAGTAAATTGCTTAGATTCACTGGTCTTCATTTTGATGGAAGAAAATATTCTTTCTTTGGTTTGCATTGTTTTCTTGGTTCTACTGTCCAAAACAAAGTTATAGATAATTTTATAGTCCCAGGATTTTCTTTTTCAGGGTGGACATCATGGCTGATCCTAGTGTTATTTGAAACTATGGGATTCACCCAGGACACTCTCAGCCGTAGAGGGGAGCCTTAAAACTCAAAGTGCTCCAAAACTAGCTCAACCTTCTGAGTTTCTCTGAGGCAGCCAACCCTTTGGAATGCGGCCCTCCTTCATGCTTTTGAGGCTCAGATTAAGTTCCATTTTCTTGTCCATGCCGGCAACTCCTCCCACAGCCTCGATGGCCCTTAAAAGCCTAAAGCAAGTAAAGTTTAGACTCTATCAAGAGGTTCTCATATGCTGGCTTCCTATCTTCCCAGTTGCTTTTCCAGCAAGAATCATGACTTGCTGTTCTTTGCAGGTCTCGGTTCTTGGAACAGTTGGCTGGGAGAGGATGACCAGAGCGTAGGCATTTTCCTCTCCCACTTCAGAGCTCCAGGCATGAAGAGGGGTCAAGAATTAAAAGCACGTGGCAAATGGGGCAGATGGAGGTCCTCGAGAAGACTAATTGTTCTTGGCCTTGGGTGTGAGTGGTCCCTTGAACTGTGTTCTTTCTGTCCCTTGTGGGGAGGGGACATATGGGCTCAGAAAGAAGTACATGGGTAGAATTTAAGTTCTCCTGTTTGAAGGTGCAACCAACAGCCCAAGTTTGAGGAAAGCGCGCTAATATCCTGCAAGGTCCCCTGTGAGGATTGTGAGCTTCTGGATGGAAAGGAACCTTGCAGGGATGTTTGGATCACCTCTCTGGTCCCAGTCACCGAGGTCCAGGTTATAACGGCTAGAGTCAATTTCCCTGTTGTTTTTCCTGCATGACTTTTATCCTTTGCTGGAAGTCCTCCCCTGTGAATCCTGTTGTGTTCCATGTGTTTACATTCTACCAAAGGCAAAATGCTAGGGAGTGCTCTTTGGAACCTGGATAGGCTGAGCTTTGAGACCCTGGTTCCTTTGCCCTGCACTCTTCTGGGTCAGCTCTTCTGCCCCACCCGGAAGCTTCATGCTGTCTCACTGCTGTCTGCCCAGGGTTCTGGAGCTGGGGATTCCTGGAGGGGAATAATTAACTCCGGGTGGCTAGTCAACATCTTTACTGCACTTTGCAACAGTTACGGTGTCATTTTTAGAGGTATTTGTGGCCTTGGCTACACCCAAAATTGCAGTAGAATGAGAAGGAAATTGTTGACTTTTCAACTGATATTGTAAAGATAGGAAGAAATGAAAGCAGGGTGATCCTTGTCCCTCCAGCAGTGTAGATGCCACATCTTGGCCTTATTTTATGTTTTGAACTTCCCTTACCCACGGATTCTGGTCTATATATTCTCCACATTGATCTTACAAGGGAAATCCAATTTCTCTAGTATATAAATTTCCTTGTGACATTTTAATGCTGTGAACTATAAATTGGTCCATTGTGATTATTTTAAAAAGCCATCTGTGGATGGGAAGGATTACTCCAAATACAATTTCATGGCAGAGAGGAAGCTGCCCTGTCTCCCTCACTGGGGCTTTCTGAGCTCAGTCCTCTTAGTCGTGTTCCAAGCTCCCTGAGCCCCTCATCTATCTCTGGCCCTCCGGCACTGCAGCAATTACGCTAGATGGCAGAGGAATTGTTACCAGATAATATCTTAGAAATAGCAATATTATGAGCTAATTTCAGCCATCTCAAATTAATGAGAATGTTCTTCAAGGAGTACAACCAATGTAAACCTTAAAAAAAAAAAAAAGGATTTAAATATTGTCCATTTATCTGTGGAGCTCAGGAGGAGCTCTGCCAGCGCGTCCCGTTGCCGCTATCGAGCCAATTGCTGGAGTGGCTTTTTTTTTTTTATCACCTTTGGGTTTTATTAAATCTCCTTTGGTCTTGACTATCAATAGTATTTGTCTTTCTTGGGATGCTGGGGAGGAGGGAATGAGGTTCTAAATGACATAATTCAGTCTGTAGGACTATCCCGTGGGCTGGGAGGGCCGCACTCCAGGATAATGACTGAGCGACACGGCACTTTTCTGCCTGCTTTGGATCACACAGAGGTGGCCTCCTTCATCCTAGCATGGACTTGCATCTTTGATCTTGTTTTATTAACCTAGAATTATTTCTCCCACACAGGCATGGCCAAAGGCTGTGCTTTAATGCGGTTGTCTCCAAACAGTTGACTTCTTTGATCTTGAGATGATTTCCTGCTTATCTGTGTCTTAAACCTTAGTGGGGAGGTGGGCGTGGGAAGCCTAAAGCTTTGTAGGCACTGACCCAGGCCTGTTGGGTGATGCATCTATTTTTGGTGGTCCCTCTGTATAGACTGCCATCTCCCCGCCACCATCGTCACTAACCTCATCTGGGGAAGCATATGAGCATTTCTGTTTGAAAGTAGTACTTGGGGAAGACACTGTCTTAATATTGAGAGAGTTTGATATTGAGGAATGGGGAAGGGTGGAGACATAATGCCGTAGGCTGCATGGGCCTGTGCCTCAGGCCCCTATTGGTGGTATCACCACTGTTTGTCCCTCCCACAGTGTCTCAAAAACCTCCCCTTCTGGGAACTTTTCCTTGTCCTCAGCTCCTCTGTTAATATTATTTTTTTTTTTGAGGGGGATGGGGCATGCTAGGAATTGAACTCAGTTTTATGTCTGCTTTCCCTAAATTTTCCCACTATCAGTATTTTTCTAGTTATGGAAATAGCTGTCTGTTCTTGTTTCCCTAACTTATGGAGGTTCTCTGTAGTGCTGATGTCTCTAACGGTGGCCTCTGAGCCTTGGAGCAGAAATGGGAATTCAGTGCTGGCCTTAGGGTTGAACTGGCGTGGTGTAGATGGTGAGGTAATCTTGTTGAATTCCTGGTGAATTTTTATTTTTCCCCCGTAAACGGAGGTGTCTTTTTCCTTTGTATTTACCACTTTCTCTTCTGTAGGTTTGAAACTTTTGAGGTTAACAGCTTCGAGCAGTTTTGTATCAACTATGCCAATGAGAAACTCCAGCAGCAGTTCAACTTGGTAAGTGGGGTTCAATAGGAGGGGGCCAGGGCTGGGGATGGCAGAGGCCTGGCTGTCATCCTGGAGCAAAGCCCAAACCGCTTCTCTTCCATCTGAGTCCATGGGTCCCAGCAGTGCCCTGATCTCCTCTTGGTCTCCTGGAGGAGCCCCTAGCTTTCCAAAGTGGCTGTGCACTCCTGCAGGGTGGAGGTGACTTGGGAAGCTTTGACAGAGTTAATGATTGTCTCCTTAGCTTTGAATCCCACTCCTCTGATCCTGGGCTTCTAGGGTATTTAAGAAAATGCAGGCTAGATATGGGTGACTTCTTGTGATTGGTTGGGTAGCGACACAACAGATCAATTAACTATCCTACAGTAGGTGTCACATTTCATGACTGTGACTTGGTGCCCCAACCTTTTCTGGCAGTTACCCATTTTCTAGGAACCAGAACTCACCTGAGTGTTTAGGGGAGATTGATGTCAAGGTGTGTCTTCATTTCGCTCACCTTGACCTTTTACTTCTTGGCCTAGCATGTGTTCAAACTGGAGCAAGAAGAATACATGAAGGAGCAGATCCCTTGGACCTTGATTGACTTTTATGATAACCAACCTTGCATCGACCTCATAGAGGCTAAGTTGGGTATCTTGGACCTCTTGGATGAAGAATGTAAGGTAAAACTGATGTGCTGTCATCGACCTGGCGCAATTCTAGACTTGAAGCATGGGGCAGAGGACAGTTGTGGGGGATAAGGGAGCATGTGAGATCTTAACACCGTTCTGTAATGGGTAATTATCTGGTCTTACTGTTCTAGAAAAAGCATTGGTATCCATTTTGCATGTTAGAAGATAACACCCTGTGACTAGTGGGTGTCACCACCATGGTAAAAAGAGTAGGTGGTAGAGAATAGTGATGTGGTGGTATGGATTTGGTGCCTCAGATGTCCTAGATGCCAAGGGGGAAAAAAAACTCCAAATCTAGACAGGTGTGCCCAAAGAGTGAGGACATAAAAGCCAGGATGATCTTTAAGGTGTTCATGGCTTGTGAGTGATAGCTTTGCATGGAGTGGTATCAGGCGAGATCCTTAGATAGCTCCATGTGATTAAGTTAATCTGTCCAGTTTGTGTGTGTGGGGGGGGAGAGTTGTCACCAGCAGGTAGAGCACCTGGCAGCCTTGGGAACAGAGTAAGGTGATCTGACTTGCCTGATTTCTTTGGCTTCTAGTTCCTGCTTTGAATCAATGGGGGTGGGATTTGATGATCTGGGTTTCTTCCAGTTTTGTGCTTGATTGATAAGGAGGTAAATGCATACTCCTCCTCCCAGTGATGAAAACTAATTGAACGATGTGGAAGCCACGTGGGGCTTGGAATGGGAAGAACGCCACTGCTTGGACTTTATGGTCCTCGACATCTTTACCAGGAAGGAAGGAGTGTGGCTCAGTAATTGGAGGAGGAGCTGACCTCCCAGAGGAGTGCTCCTCATTTTCTTGCCTTTGAAATTGAAAGATGAACAAAATGGTAGATGATGGTGTGAAGACATACTGACCCCTACAGCTAGCACATTCTTATCTGCTATAGTTTTCCAGCATCTCTCTAGAGATGTGGGCTCTATTGTCAGTGTCAGAGCAGGGATCATTTCTCAGTATGTCAGATGTTTGGGCTCACCCAACCTGAGAGTTGCGATTAAGGTAGAACAATTGTCCCTGGATTGAGTGGCACTGACTAAATGGCTGGAGTCACAGCTCAGGCCCTCCTGGCTCCCTCCTGCTGTGGATGCTCACTGACTTTCCTGATTCAGTGTCCCCTGCCAACAGCCCTCTTCCTCAGCTCGGCCAGGTGCATGCTCCCTTCCTCAGTCTCTCTGGAGATTCCTGTCAGTGACCATCTTCAACCCAAAGGCATCCCTGAGTCCTGTGTCCAGCCCAGGCCTCTGGGGGTACTGGGCTGAGGTAGCTCTTCAGCCTTGCTGTAGGCCAATTCCAGCTCTGGACTCTCCTCCCTTATGGTGAAGGTGAAAGTCGTGCACAACTGAGGGCACATGGGTAGGCAGTTACCCCTACACGGGTCAACCTGGTTCTGTGATGAAGAGTTTAATAAAGCAGGCCCCAGGGCAGGGCCTCCCCATTTACTTACAGCCTCTCACCAAAACCAGGGCTTCAGGATGGCCTGTTCTGCAACTTTAGCAGCTGCCTAAAGATTTACCCTGCCCCGACTGCAAGCTAGTGGGTTTGCTTTGGTTTATCCTTTGAAGATCTAATGGGAGTGTTAAACCAGGGCGGTGAGAACACTGTTCCCAATGCACAGGTGTAGTGTCAGATGGACAGAAACCTCAGACTGCTGTCCAAAGGTGGGACACAAGCCCCTGGAACGGCTGGAGCAGTGCTGGGCTGGAAACAGCGGCTTCTGGGAGTGGGGTGAGTAGGCAGTTGGTGGGAACAGCAGTGGTTCAGGAAAATAGGCCCTCAGTTCAGGCCGTGTACAGCACCCAGACCACTGCACTGCAGCACAGGATATGTCCAAAGGGCACCCACACCCTCCTGTCTTGTTTCCTTTCTGCATACATGCCACCTGGGGCATCATGTTGGGAAAGGAAAATAAGCCTGTATTTCAAATTCTTGCCACTGTTTTTCATCAAACACTAAAATGTTTTGCACAGCTACTAGATGTCTCATTGGGAGGGAAAAGCTCATGGGAGAGGAGGGAAGGGATCTTGGAAGAGTGATGGGATCATGTTGGGAGGCCCTAGGCTCCAGTGAGCAGGAGGACTAGGAAGTCTGCATGCAGGGCCAGCATTTGGAGTCTGGGTCCTACAGCAAGTGAGAGGAGTCTGGACCACAGTCCAAGAAGAGCAGAGTCGCAGCTGAACAGCATTAAGGGCAGGAATGGGGTGCCCGGCCCTGAGCTCTGCAGCCACTGTGATCTACCTGAGGCTGCTTGGACGGTTTGCAGAAGGCCTACATTTCCTCCTCATGGAGCTGGTGGGAGCTTGGAGTGTCAGGATGCTGGATAGAGTACTGTGGATGTGACACATTTAACCTCACTGGTGACCATGGTCACCGGTGTTGCTAGAGAGACGAGATGAACACCAAATAAAGGAATGAGACAAAAGCCCATGATGAGGGAACTTTTTGTACCAGATTTAATTGCTCTGGGAATTCTGGATGATGGAGAATAATCTGATGCAGCTTCTAGTAACAGGTGGCTTTAAAGCCAGCAGATGTTATTGTATTTGTCAAAACTCACACAGTTGAACCCTCTAGAAGCATTTTCCTATATGGAAACTGTACTGTATTAAGTGACTTTTAAAAGGCAATGGACCTGCTGGGCCCTTCTGGAAGTGCCATGGCTGTGAGCCTGAGCAGGTGAGGATTTCCCATGGAACTGGTCATAGCTTGGCTTCCCTCAGGACTGATCCTGTTTGAGAGTCACCTCAGACATGGCCCTTTCTTCCTCCTAAGATTCTCTGCAGAATGAGAATGAGTTCTCTGATCCCTGGGTGACAGCACTAAGCCAAGTGAGGGTTGGACTGGTGGTGTGAAGCCACCCGCGTAAAAAGTCACTCTGGAGGAGATGAGCAGGGGCCAGGCCTGAGCTGGGGCTTCAGTGGATACGAGCTGGCTGCAGACTTAAAGGGGCAGCTCACAGGGTTCTCCCCAGGCCTGTGACATGTGCCAGGACCTGCAGGGAGGCATGGGGACCAGAACATGAAGGCACTTAGGTTCCTTCACCAGGAAAAAACCCAGTGTCTTCAGCTCAGCCACGAGACCTTGAGCAAGTCACAAACCACAGCTGTCCCTCAGTTGTCCAAGAGGAGGCAGAAAGGGGATGTGTGCTCCCAGGAAATGCTCATTTCCAGGCTGCTGTGAGCACAACTCACCTGCACCAATGGGATGCACTTTAAGGCTGCCTCGAGGTCCTCTCCTAAACGGATTCAGGCTTGGTGTTTCCTGCCCTCCAGTGTCCTGTCCATTGTCTCCTTCCTCTATGGGGGACAAGCTAGTGTGTGCTGTTAGGATATGAGAGTTTAGTGCTTGCTTCCTCACGGGTGTCATATTTGCATTGTTGCAGGAATTTTCTGGAAATGCCTTAAGCTCTGGGAGCAAAAGTAAAAGTGATGAGTAAAAGTATATATTGCTGCCGCAGGCCAGAGAGGTGTGTGTTGGGGGGTGTCCCCAAAAGTAGATCCAATAGGGGAGGCAGGCTCTTCCCTCTCTGCCCTGTGAGACTAGGATTCTTCCATTTCACAGAGCCCATCCCAGCCCAAAGAAGCTATCTTACCATTTTTATGACTCCACAGTGACATCAGACTAAAGACAGTGGGGCCACTGCACTGCCCTCTGTCTGCTCATCCAGGGACAGCTTGCTGTCAAGGGCATTTATTCCATCCAGATCAAGGGTTCAGGGTTTCTTCAATGGCCCCAAAGCTCCCCTAAGTGAAGATGGAGGAGGAGCCTGGGGCAAGGAGGCAGAAGATGTGAACTTCCTGGGAGGTGAGGGCTTTGAGGAACTTGGCAGTAAAAAAGCCACCTCCAGTGTCTTGGAATGAGCCGTCCCAAGGGATTTGTCAGAGCAGAGGCCAACCTTCAGTAATTGAAGGTGAGGATGTGAAGATGGAGGCTTTGACCTCCTTCCTAGAGGCCTGGCTGTGAGGAGCCAGAGGCAGAGGTGGGTGGGATGCTGGCCTGCAGGGCAGGAGGGTGGGGAAGCTGTGGACACAGATGTGCTTCTGGATGTTTGAGCAGGAGATTGTGATTTCCTGCTTGACAACCTCCATTTCCCCGTGAAGAAGGAAATGGGGAATGTGCCTAGAGGAGGTAGGTCAGAAACTGCGGAGGATGGAAAAAGCAGGCATGCGAATATCTGAGTGCACAGGTGTTTGCTGAGGTCAAGGGCTGTAAATGAGATTGGGGGGTCATCAAGGTCATCTCCCTGCTTGGATGTGGGAGCAGCATCTTAATCCCCAGAAGTGAGTCTTGGAGTGAAGCCTAGTCCTAGTTTCTGGCAGCAGTGTTGGTAAAGAGAGGGTGAGTTGATGTGTGGCTTGTTCCAGCCTCGGGGTGAGGAGATGGAGTTGAGGGATGCTTGAGCTCTCTGCATTTGGTGCTCTGCGGAGCACGGGGTGGGGTGTGGCATTGGAAGGCTGCCTGCAGGGTGCAGAGACGGGAGTCACCTCCTCAGAGAGCTATTAGAACTGCAGAGTCCTGGACCCAGATGGGCTTCTGTGATGGCCAGGAGGGAGCAGAGATGCTTCTCAAAGAGCCTGAGGATCCGGAGGTCCTGTGACGCAGATGAGAGGTCAGCACGAGTAGGAGGTGCCAGGAAATGAGATGTATGGGATGGGATGAGAAAGTGGTGGGGGAGGCAGTCATTGGTGGCAGAGGCCCAGGAGGACAGGGATAAGAAACAGATGGGTAATGGGCCGTGAGGTCCTTAGCACTCATCTGCTATCTGTTGGGGAAGGTGGTGGCTCCAGGTGATATGATAGAATAGTTTCTGCTCAAGGTTCTATTGTGGGGGGTGGGGGCAATGGTCCTTGGCCATAGGATATGGTCAAATGCTACTGGTGGAAGAAGAGTTTAGGGAACCCAAGGGCTTTCATCCCCAACCCTTTTTTTTTTGTTTTAATAGCAAAGGGTAAACTTGGTTTGTTTTGTAAACGGCCCTGTTGAGAGAGAACTCATATCATGCCATACAGTTTATCCATGTAAAGTGTATAGTCCAGTGGTTTTTGGTGCATTCACAGAGCTGAGCAACCATCACTTCCACAGTCAATGTCAGGATATCTTCATTACCCCAGAAAGAAACCATTAGCAGCCATTGCCCACACTTCCAGCTATCTCCTTGAATTTGCCTGTTTGGGGTATTTCATATAAATGGGACCTTCGCTTTTGTGTGTGTGTGTGTGTGTGTGTGTGTGTGTGTGTGCGCGCGTGCGCTCGCATGCCTGCTCTTGGGATTAAACCCAGGGCCTTGTGCATGTGAGTCGAGCACTCTACCAACTGAGCTATATCCCCAGCCACCTTCACTTTTTGATGTGGCCAGCACCGTACTGGCAGAGTTTAGACCTGAGGACAGCTGGTCCAGGGTTCTCTCCACACTTTGAGTGTCAAGAAGCTCGTATGAGGTCGTATGCAGATTTCTTTCTAAATGACTTGATGCAGCTGCAAAGTCCAGAGCTTCTGATAGCCATAATCCACACTGGTCAAAATGCAAGATTCTCTTTTTCCTATGGCTGATTAAAATCTACTTTCATGGAAAGAATCCTGGAGACTAGTTCCACCTTCCACTCAAACCTGCCTTCATGACTGCCTTGAACTCTATTGTCAGGCTGAAAAGCATAGTGGCAAAAAACACGTGCCCCACAGCCAGCCCATCCTGGCTTGGGACTTCTCCTCAGCCGAGTGACCTTTGGCTAATTACTTAACCTCTCAGCCTCAGTTTATCCCTAAAGCATGTGTATATATAATGTAAGGATTCAATGCATTGATGAATCCAAAATGTGTAGCAAGCTTCATGACAAATAATACTGGCCAAGGCCCAAAGCACTTATCTAAGAATCTTAATTGTTTTGAATTTTTGCTGGTTCCTATTTTTAGTTGAAGGTGGCTATGGAATGAAAGTTGGGATATATGTATACACATGACCTTGACTGTTGGTCTTCTCTGCTTATCAATTCATACCAGTCTGAATTAGTGATTATGTAGGATCGATTGTAGAGTCTTCTCATGGAAGTTCAATTTTTTTTAAGGTGATTGTTGCTAAAAGATTTCAGTGTTGGCTTAGGTGGAGCTTCTGCTCATGGTCTGCTTTCTCCAGTCTCTCACTCTCTGGCCTGTTTGGTCCTGACAGTCCCACCAGGCTGACCCTTCCTTTCCCCACACCTGGTGGTTCTAAACACAGAACACTTGGAGACAAATATAAAATAGTGTATATATAGAAAATGCTGAATTAAATATATTTTATTGTTTGCCCAACACAATTAATAGCCTCTTTCAAGAAAGCATTTTCTTTCCTTGAATTCCCAATGGCACGTAGCACTGGGGATTCAAGACTAGTTGCACCACGTTGAATCTTGAGAAAAATGTTTGCTTACAAAGGATTAAAGAAGTTTGTTCCCAAGTACGTAAGCATTTTCCTTAGGACACAAATTTTATTAGCAAAGACCTTTTTAAATGGTTGCTACAAGGGTCACCTTCAAACTCTGTCTGATCCAAATGTGCAATCTAAACTAACGAAGGGCAAATCAGTTAACCCATAACTGAGAGCTGCACCAGTTCTGGACATGGGTGTCGAGGATGACAGGAGGGAGGCCCTTCCCACTGGATAAATCGCTGTCATCTTTGACAATTTGAATGGTGGTTATGGTGTTGTTTTTTATGTTTTCAATGAAGCAAGATGCTTGTTTACTTTTGAAGCTATCCATACAGATTTTAAGAGGGGCTGCCCTTCAGAATCCTTAATGTAGGGAAACCTCCAAGTCTGAATTAATATTTGTGAGGAGGCAGAGATTGTCCCAAGAAGTTCAAGCACTAGGCACTTGGCAGGAGTAGAACCCAGATGTGGCTCATGTAATGACAATATCCAGAAACCAATTAGATGATGTGTGTTAGAGCTCAATTGTGAGGAATTCCAAAGAAGAGAGATGCGAAGTCAGGATAGAGCAATGGGCTGAGTCTGGAAGCTGGTACTTGGATGGGCTTAGGAGTAGGGTCCCCCGCGTGACCTGGAGGACAGGGGCATGTTCATGACACTGCAGGAAGAGGCATCTTCTGGTGGCTTCATAGTGACTGTGCCTCTATCCTCAGCCTCTTTGTACTTCCTGCTTCAGCCAAACTGCAAGTCCTTTGAGGCTCAGCATGCTTCCACGGCCAGCCCCACATGCTGGGTTAAGGGTCTCCTCAACGCCCATGGTAGAGTTATTCTTTCCACGGTCCAGTGAAGGTCCCGGTTTGAGGGCTGAATCCACTTCACAGAGCCAAAGTGCTGACAGACTGTCCCTCTGCAGTGGCTCTTTGCTTTCCTTTTCACAAAGACCTCTGGTCTGTGCTGTGGCTCTGCAGGTCCCCAAAGGAACTGACCAGAACTGGGCGCAGAAGCTCTACGACCGGCACTCCAGCAGCCAGCACTTCCAGAAGCCCCGCATGTCCAACACGGCCTTCATTGTGGTCCACTTCGCAGATAAGGTGGCTATCCTCTTTGCCAGCTTTGTGTACTCCCTTATCCCCACTTTAGGCAGAGTGGGGTTTTGGGGCTAAGAGAGCTGTCCTTTGTGAAAGTTGGGATATATGTATACTCATGACCTTGACTGTTGGTCTTCTCTGTTTATCAATTCATGCCAGTCTGAATTAGTGATTATGTAGGATCACCAAGTGGCCCAAGGTGTCAGGTTGGTTCCCGGGCACCCTTCCTTCCCCACCCTGCCCCATCTCTGATATGCAGACTGCTGAGACATGGCTCAAGCTCATGGGCTGTGGCAGTTGCTGGTCAGTTGTATCATCAGTGCTACTGAGAGCCGAACTGGGAAGAGTGCAGCATGCAGAGCAGTTAAGATCCCTCCATCCCAGAGCTTGAGAGGAAAAGAGGCTTGAAAACAGAAGGGTAGCATGTGGTTTGCCTTCTTACATGGGACAGGGCTCCTCTCCTAGTGAAGGATGTGGACACAGAACTTTTCTAAATGGATTGCTTAATTCTCAGGTTGTCTATCACCTAGCATCTTGTTAAAATGCACATGGCTCAGTCCACTGCGTGGCTGGGAAACTGCATTCAGAGCCCTGAAGAGGCCTTCTGTTATTGGGATTGCCGTTTAAGAAAATATTTTCTTGCACAAAATGAGTACTGGCTTCACTCTGTAAATCCTGATGGCTTATGGGATTTGCATTTTAAACAGGAACTTGTGTGGATTTCCCAGCTACCCACAGCTCTTTTTAGAACATGCTATGTGGATGAGATGAAAGTACTCCCGAAACTGGTGGGGGCCTGGTCAGACTGAAGCCCTGATGCTTGTTTCTCCTTGCCTTGCGGCCCAGGTGGAGTACCTCTCAGATGGTTTTCTGGAGAAAAACAGGGACACAGTGTATGAAGAGCAGATCAACATCCTGAAGGCCAGCAAGGTAAAGAGCATTGGGTATGGGGCCAAAGGTAGCCCAGTAGTAGAGCACTTGGATAGCATGCACAGGGTGCTGGGTTGATCCCCTGCACTGAAGAGAATGGGGAACAGAACAAGGCTGTCCATGGCCGGATCTGGGATGGGTGGCTGGTGTCAGCCCCCTGTGGAATACAGGAAGGCAGCGATGTTGGGTCAGGTGAAGGGGCTTATTGGTTATTTCAGTTGGAAGACATTTGACGATGGCCTAGTGGAGGGAAGAAAGCAGGGTGTGTAGGGGTAGGGCAGAGCCCAGAGGAAGAAACCTGCTGAGGGAAGGACATGGGAAGGTGCAGGGAAGATGGCAGTGAGGGACAATGGTGAGTCTAATGGTGAAAACTTTACTGTCTTCCATCTCCTATCTGCAGATGTGAGATTATCTACACTCCTTCACGTCCCTCTATTTGGGTATTCCATTTTTGTCCAGTAGTCTGCAGAACTCTCTAGGCAAAAACTTAATGGAATATGAGCTGAGACTTAAGATATTTAAATCTACTACTTCAGACTTTGTTATCTCCAGGATTTTAGCTGTTTGCCTGTCATTACAGAGCAAGGAAAGAACAGATGCTGTGTGCATTCTATGGGTAGAGGAAATAAAGTCCTCGTTCACTTGCACACTGCTCACCCACACACATCTGTTATGCACCTGCCCATGAAGTATTGCCCTAAACTCACCTGCTCATTCAAAGGCAAGCACAGAAGATTCTGCCTTCCAGGTGTTACATTCCCATGGACTGCGAGTGGGCAGATAGGTCGATGCACACAGGTGACTTGAAGGGACAGGGGCATGGAAAGGAGCTGCATCCAGGAGAGGCCTGTGAACAAGCATTCTAGAGGCCAACACGGAGACAGATGCTGCTGGGGCTTCAGCCCTTCAGAAGAAACCAAGGGAAGGGAAGGACTTTGCAGGATTTAGGAGGCTTTCTCCCAGACGATGTGGCAGTGAACTCACTGCAGGGTCTGATAACACAGTAAAAGTGACAGATTAATTTCTCTTTGTGATAAGCTTTAGATGAAGGCAATAGGGTGAGATGATAGAATGGGGAAAATACACAAATATACAGAGCAGAATGGACCCAAGGATATAAGGCCAAATAAACCCTGTTGTGTCATGTGGCCCCTGAGGTGGGGAGAGGAGGGAGGGAGGGAGGATTTGAGTCAGTAGCAGCATGTGGACTTGCCCTGCCCATCCTCATCTCTGGATATCTCCAACAGCAGGGAACAGTCATGAGCCCCTGGCTTTGGGTAGATGTGAATATTATTTTGGAGTTCAGCTCTACATTAACCTGTCAGTTCCCCCAACTTTCTAAATCTCCAGTCCAAGGTGGTTTGTAGGAGTTTTTCCATCTTTCCCAAGGGTCGGGGTGGGGGCAGTGTGGGAGAGGAGCCTCAGGCCACAGAGAAGGGAGAAGCAAATGGTGTGAGCACTGGAGACTCTTCCCTGTCCCATGTGTCCTAGAGTGCCAAGAGACCCATGGCTTCCTGTGAGTCTGACAGTGGCCCTCAGTCCCGGGACATTTGCTATCTTGACTTGAGTTTCTCTTTTCAAGGAGAAGCAGAAACGAGGGGAAAGGGAAAGAGCTTTGGTAGTTCTTAAGCAGTTTGTCTCCAATACTACCACTGTGTTGTGGGTTTTGAGTGGTTCTCAGCAATTCCAGAACCTAAAAATGAGCATTTCTGATAAAACTCTCGCCAGCAGATCCCCTTGTATTAGTAACTGAGCTCTTTCCCCTTTATTCAACAGCTTCTGTGAACATTTGGTATTTTCTGGTAACTAAGTATATATAGTCAGCCTCATGGATCTTAATCTAGTGAAGATACTACACACATATGGAAGTCTAAAAGATGCTCATTGTCATGATATACAAGTTGTACCGCTGTGAAGGTCAAGAAGGAGGTGCTGTGGGAAAGGAAAGGCGTCTGCTGGGGGCCAAGACCACCCTCAGGTTCAGTAGTTGGCTACTAGGACTCGGAGCTCGGCCTGCAGTTGTACTTGCCGTGATGTGAGTGGTGACGGCGAGAGGACAACTGCATGGAGTGAGCAGGCACAGGGTGGCAAGAGTCTTCCCTTGGTGGAGTCGCAGAAGATGTGCTGAGCTCCCCCAAGAAGCAAGTGTGCTACTTGTGAAACCTTACCAGGAAATGTTGCCCAAGCCTAGGTGTCCAGGGCTTGAGGTCACTTATGTGGGCCACCTTTGCCTTGCAGGAACCAAAATTCTAGAATCCCAGGAGGAAAACAAGTATTCAACATTAACCAAAATGCTGGTATAATTGGTGCAGGCCCAGTGAGCCAGTCTTATCAGGAATGCTGAAGTCCAAGTTCCCAAACACGAGAAGGCTTGACCTTGTAAACAGGCCTTCTAAGGAAAGCCCAGACCGTAATATTGGCTCTTTACAGAGGCATCGCTTTAGATTGGGGATATTTATTAGAAATGAAATGTGGACTCATAAAAATTCAGATACTACATAGATAAAAGTCCCCCCTTCCCACTCCTTGTCACATCTTCTGATGAATTCCTATTCTGCATGTGTGAGCACGTTGGTATGTCTTTAAGACTGAAATAATCGCTATGCATACCTTGTCTTCTGATTTTTTTTTTTTCACTCATTATTTTATCTTGGCCATCTTTCCACATGAGTGCACATCTTCTACTTTTCCTATTTTTAAAAAAAACTGCTGGCACTTTGCTTTTCAAAAATAGTGGCAGTGAATGCCCTTTATGCGTCTCTCTGCTTACTTGTACAATTATGTCTATTGGCTAAAATTTGAGGAGTGGAACTCATGGTTCAAAGGGCATACACACCAGAAGTCTGTAGATACTGCCGTGTTAGAGGGCACGGTAGGTCTCTGCTCCCCTCTTGGAACTACCTTCTTCCCGATCCACCCACCATAGCTCTAGCTTTCCCTCACCAGCTCATACTTGTAAAGATCCAGTGCCCTGTTGCCTCCCCACAGCTCCCTGAGATCCAGTGACAGTGGCCAGCAGCATTCAGGTCACCAGGCAGGGCTGCGGGCAGCCAGAACCCTTCCAGCCCATCTTCAACATCACCAAGGACAGAAGGCAAAGACTGACACTGGGTCACCATGAGCCAGTCCACAGGTGGGCTGCAAACCCGAGAGGGACTCCACGTGTGCTTTCAGTTGGTTGGACAGATGGCGAGTCTGACAGCATCTATCATTTTAGCCTTTTTACAAATCCTGGTTTACCTAGCCTCTGCCGTTCTTGTTAAAGTTTCACCGTGTTCACAGCAGTCCCCCAAGACACGTTTCTGTGTGTTACGGCATCGTTCTAGGTCTTTATTCTCCTATGTCACTGATTTGAAATGGAACACCAGGTGGCTTCTGGTTTTGTTGTACTCATTCTCATCTCTGTAAGCGCAGCTCGGTCTCAAATCCTTGTGTAAATTCAGTTGAACTTGAAGTACTTTTATTTTATAGGAGACGCCTGGTCTTTTCCCTTTGTGAGGCATCCCTGATAGGAAACCATCCACTTGTCGTGAATAATTAAGCAGTATGAGAGGGCAGACTCCCACCTGCCTGGGAGCCCTAGGGATGCTTAAGGAACTCCCACCAAGAGCAGAGAAATAAGCTCGTGTTAATGAGAGTGTAATTGGGAAAGCCAGTTACACTGCCTAAGAGGTTATAATGTGGCTAATTGCTTTCTCAGCTATCACAGAGCTATAAATAGTCTTAAGAAATGCCTCTTTAAGACACGACTTCAAGTTATTAACAGATTCATTTGTTCTAAACACTACAAAGAATGGCAGCTTCTCCCCTCATTTTTATTATAAAAAGGAATGTTTCATTAACCTGTTGGGTGAGGGAGGAAAGTCCCAAAAGGGAAATAGTTTTTCTCTGAGGACAACAAGCAGTGGATCATGTGTTTGTGCCAGTGAGAGCTGAGCTGGGCGGGCAGGTCTGACGTCACTTCTCTGCTCCATGCTTGCAGTAGGGTTCTCAAGAACTGTATAGACCGGAGCCATTCTTGGCTCAAAGGACTTACCCTGAGCAGAGACAACCCCTGAGGTATAGGAGTCATGGTAGAGTAGCTCAGGCAAGCCCCAATCTCCCTTCCCATCTCCTTTCTGCCTTGTATGGTTTGACCACAGCTCTCAAGGGGAGGTCACGTGTACGACTGTTGCTTTCCATTCTAACATGTTCTTAAAGGCTACATATGTGCCATTTGGAGCAAACATTTGCCTTTTTAACATTTTAATTTTTAAAAAATCGGCTTAATTGAGATAGTCAACATTACAAAAGCTTGTTCTTAAAGGTACTTGGAGTGCTGCTTATATGTGCTGGCATTTGAAAAGTTTCTAGAAATACACAGAACAATGAGGCCTCTGGGTAAGAAAACTTCCAGGTGATGGAACAGTGTCACCATCCTCTTTCCTTGGAGGGAAAGTACATGTTACTTCTTCCAGAAAGTAAAGTGCCCAGTCTATCTCTCAAAACCATTTTAGGGACTGAGGATATGGCTCAGCAATATTTGAATTCTTGCCTAGCATGCATGAGGCCCTAGGTTATATCCCCAGAATCTCCCTGCTCCCCACCCCCGTCCAAAAAAAAAAAAAAAAAAACTGGGTTAACACCCATTAAAACATAGTGTTCCTTATCTAAATTTCGGAGATTCCCCACAGGGTTGCATTTAATTGTATAAAAGAGTTAATTGAAAAGAAAACCTATTTTTTATTGTCTACAGCAATAGTATTTAAAGATAAGATTCTAGGCAAGATATCGCCATCAAACTGTTTTCCTAGTGTCTTATTTTAGCTTCATGTGTCTGTTACAAAGGATAGCTCTTTTGTACTCTTATAAACACAAGTGAATAGGTGTGATTTCCAAGGTAACAGCTTCACAGGGCACTGTAATTGATGTTTTCTTAAACTGTCAAATGGTCTTTAGCAAGTGTTTTGTGCCTCTCTTAATCCTTCTCAGTTTTGCCTCAGGTTTTGAAAATCTCTATATAGGTTTCAATATTATAGAATTCCAAAGTCAGTACTTGTGGACATGTCTCAAATATGTGACAAACACAACTAGGGAAGTGCTTAGCTGGTGTGTTATGTGTGACTTTTTCAGTTAGAAGACAATGACTTTAGAAGGGCCCAGGTATACACCATTACCCACTGAGTTGAAGGATTCCCTGTTCCTGGTCAGCTGGCTTACAAACAGGTTTCTCAGTAACTCTTAATAATATTTAACAGCCTAACTGGAGTTAGTAAGTTGAAGAAAAAATTTCTCCCCTTCACCCAGCAGTGTGGGGTTTTATTGTACTATGAATCCTTTATCAAGCACCTAGTTTGCAGTCTGAGCTCAGGTTTGTTTATAGTCTGGGCACTCGTAGAGGAAGAGGTCCTTCTGCCCCAGTCCTCTTGGAGGATTGGGTGAGTAGGGTAGGTACTTGATGCTTTTGGCCTGAGTCTGTCCCTTCCAACCCAGGGTTGTACAAGTTACCTCAATCTTTCAGTCACCTGGTCAACCTAGAATCTACCTTTAGTCACTAAGTCTATGCAACAAATCCTGAGTAGAATATGTACTCTATATCTCCTCCCCCAAAGTTAATGTTCCCAAACTCACCTATGTGTTCCAAGTGCAGAACTCAAATTTTCCAGACTTGGTGTAGGTCATGTTTATACCCAATGATGCACAGATGCCAGCTTAGGTGACAGTCTGACTTGGATAGTCTTCCAATTCTCTTAAATCATATAGCCCTGGTTTCATGTATAAAATAAAAAAGGTAAGATGGCTTTTCTGAAGCAAGAGAGGCTGAAATTTTGAGATAATTTCATTGGCAAGTCTGATTTCAAAGTTCCTCATGCAATTTTGATACATGTTTCTGACCTTAGGACTTCACAGATTTTTTTGTACAATAAGTACTCTTAGACTGGGGATATAGCTCAGTTGGTAGAGTGCTTGCCTCACAGGCCCTGGGTTCAATCCCCAGAACCAACAAAAAACAAACTATTGATGACTTCTGTAAATTAGACCCCTTTACCCATTATAATTGTGCAGATTGGTAATTTCAGCTCCTGTTCTGAGCATCTTAGAGTATGGATTAGATTAATTGAATCAGCCAGTGTTTGGTTATTTGCCTGAAAAACTTAACCACAGGATGTCTTTGAAGTGTGGTTTGAAGGTGCAGTTAGCCCCCATTCCCCGCATCGTTTCCTTGTGGAGGTTTTGCTACACCAATCCAACCTTACCTGTGCTTGGGTGCTCTGGTACCAGTCCTGGGAGCCCTCTGGGCTGATGTCTTGTCCTCCTCTCTGATCCCTTCCGTCGCCGTGTTCTCGGTTAACTCATGCTGTGGTGGCTTTCTGCCATAGATGGTAAGGACTGACAAGTTTTAACGCGGGGGGTCCTGGATGAGGTTTGCATTCACGGCAAACTCTGGCTGCTTATAGAGTATGTCTGGATGTGGGTGTGATTCCTGACCCAGGGGAAAGCTCAGTAGTGCTGAACCAGGGCAGCAGCATTCTGATTGATGCACGAGGACTGCTGACACTTAACATCCAACAGAGCCTGGTTGAGACAGGAGGTAGGGTGAGAGCAGATCCCCAAGCTAGATTTCATAAGGCTGCGTGTGAGGGTAGTTTGTGCCTTGTTGAACTGAAATACACAGAGGAAGGAAGATGCTCAGCAGACAGTTGGAAATATCCATCATGGTAATGAAAAGATCCAGACTAGGGCCTGGCATGATGGTGCACACCTGTAGTCCAAGTGGCTTGGGAGACTGAGGCAGGAGAATCAAAGCCAGCTTCAGCAACTTAGTAAGGCCTTGTCTCATTAAAAAACAAAATGGGCTCCCCAATGGCTTGGTGATTAAGCACCCTTGGGTTTAATCCCTGGTAACAAAATAACAAACCAGACACTAGTAGAGGATTGAGAGTGATAATGGAAGCCACTGGCGTGAAGTAGATTGTCCGGGGACACATGTTTGAGAGAAAAAATGGTGGAGATGCTGATCTGGCAAACAGAAGTCCAGAGGAAGGAAGTTCAGGAGTATGGGTCGGTGGAAGCTGCTGTAAAGAAACAGAAAGGGAGAGAATGAACAAAGTAGGGCTGCTGTCTCGGGAAAGATCTCCAGAAAGGAGACGTGGGCCAATGGACCTCAGAGGGGACTGTAGCATGAAATGAGACCACAGCGCTACTACCTGCTGGTGTTGGTAAGCAGTTAGCCTCCTCTCCACGTACTGAAAGGGATCCTGAGAACATACTTGATATATATTAGTTATCATGAAACAGGTGCTAATATAATGGTTTTATATTACTCTTAGGATTAAAACAAAAAATCTTTACCCAAGGTCTACATGAGCTGGTCCATCCCTCCTTCCCTCTCACTGTGTACCCTGTAGCTGTACCCACTTCATGTTAGTCCCCTAAATGTCCCATATTCCATGCATAGTCACTTCCACCCCCAAACTTTCCTACCGCTCAAATACCCCCACTAGCTCAAACGCCCCTTCCTAAGGCAGCCCTGGTTTCCTCCACACCACTGTGATTGGTTTATCTTTGTTACATGTTCCTTTTCATTAGAACATCATCTTGTCATTACGTGGAGATGATTAATGATTTAGACGAATCATCGGGTTCAAGTCAAAACCAAGTCAGGTGAACGGGTTTGCCATAGGTCACATAGCTGTGTAAGGGTAACCTCAGAGGCTGTTTTATTCACTTTGTGTTGCCAGCTTCCAGCACAACTTTTATCGTTGTGTTGATGTAAGTATTGATGAACAGATGGAAGAACTAGTCAATCTAACTTCCAGATTCAGTGACCTCATTTACTTTTTCTTTAATTGTAGATGGACAAAATGACTTTATGTGGTGCTAAGGATCGAACCCAGTGCCTCACACATGCTAGGCAAGCACTCTACTGCTGAGCCACAGCCCCAGGCCCTCATTTTCCTTTCTCTACTGCAGTAGCTCATAGAATTGAGTACCTACTGAAAGTACCATTTTTATGATGTTGGCATATGAATTTTACTCAGATGTTTAAAAAATCATGTATGAACTGTCTGTTTCTCTGACAGTTCACCAATTCCCTCCCCCTTGATTATGCAGGCTTCCCCCACCCCTTGTGCTGGGGATCAAACTTGGGCCTAACGCATGCTAGGCAAGCATTCCACCACTGAGTTACACCTCCAGTTCTTTCCCTTCCCTTCTGAAGAAATATTTATGACTTTGAAATGAATGCATGAAGAGAGGAGGAAGATGATCCATTTCAAAGATGCTGTGAATAGGAAGAAAATTGTCACCTTTTGGTAGCTAAAACTTGAAGACGTCTGGCTTCTCTCACTTAGCGTAATGTTCTCAAACGTACTTACATTGTATCATGTGAGAGGAGGTCATTCCTTTATATTGTTGAATCATCGTCCACCCTATGGGTGATAACTACATTTCTCCACCGATCTGGTGGTGGCCATTCCAGGCATCTCAGCCTGGTAGTTCTCACGCACAACACTGCTGTGAACATTGGTATATGGGGCTTTGTGTGAACATATTTTCATTTCTCACAACTATGTGTTGACTATTTGGGGAAAAATTGAACCAAAGTATGAGAGATCTGGTTTTTGTTTTCCTTGTGGTTGTTTCTAGTTCCCATTAGTGGCCGACTTGTTTCGTGATGACAAGGACCCTATTCCTGCCACCAGCACATCAGGGAAGGGATCGTCTTCGAAGATCAACATTCGCTCTGCCAGACCCCCCATGAAGGCCTCCAACAAGGAACACAAGAAATCTGTGGGCCACCAGGTCAGCTCCAGGCCTGTGACCAGAAGCTGAGCTCCATGGTGCATGGAGCAGGGTTGGCATCTCTGTAGATTAAGGGCAGCTGCAAGGTCAGGGAGGCCATAGTGACCTTAGCATTGGCAGCCCTTGTCACTAAGCTTGAGCTTTGTATCTTTTGAAGAGGAATCTGCAAAACCTGCACCAGAGAGGACTAGCAGAGGAGCCAGGAAGGGGGATGAGGACAGCCCGTGAGTGCATTACCCCTGAGGCAGTGAAGGGCTGCAGTAACTAGTGGGGAGGTGAGAAAGTGGACTCTGCAGAGTGGAGAGGAGAGTTAAATAAGTCCAGGGATCAGAGGCAAGGACAGCTTCTCCTGCTCCAGGTCACTGTGGGTATTGTGTCTGGTGTCTCCAGAGAAGCCCCTGGCAACTGCCACCTGCTTTTATTCCTGTGGGTTTGTCAATTCAGGTCATTTTACAGTCACTTCCAGGATGCTCTGGAATGGAGGCTGCAGTGCCCCATGTTCAGCACCAGTACCCAGCAGTGAAATGGCTCATTTCCCTTAGTGTTCACCTGCCTTTTTTTCTCACTTGGTCACTGCACAGTAGGAGTGTCACTGGACTCGCCCAGATCTCCAAATTTTTTCCCCTGTTCTCTGGGGTTGATAATAGTAACAATGACCACCACCCTCAGTATGAGTGTTTCTTTATTTTCAACATTTTTTTGGATGTATGATAAACAACTTGGCTCTGGCTTTTGCCTCTGCAGTTCCGCACCTCCCTGCATCTTCTCATGGAGACCCTGAATGCCACCACCCCACATTATGTTCGCTGCATCAAGCCCAACGATGAGAAGCTCCCCTTCCAGTAAGTGCCTACTGGGCTTGGTCAGCCCCTTTCACTCCTCCTTGGAGGCTCAGGTGCAACTGGGTGGGCTCAGCCTTGGGAGACTCTGTAGCCTCCAGCATGGTGAATGGTCAGGGTGAGAAGATATAGTTCCCCATCCCCTGGAGCTTGCCTTGGTGCTGAGGAATGCACACGCCTGAACCAAATAGAGGCCCATTTAGAAGTATATCAGTAAATGTGGAAGCCTCGTCTGCCCTGGCAAATGTTAAATTCAGACAGGATGGCAGAAACGGGCAGGAAATGCTTTTCTGGCATTGAAGAAACGGCCATCAAATGGCAGGTAGAGATAGACATGCAGGTGGTCCTGCTTCTCACCTCACTCCGCTGCTGTCCTTCCAAGTATCCACCCTTGCTCTTGTTCCCCCCACTCCTCTGCCCACACCTGGAGACTGATTCTTGAAGTTCTATCCATACTTCCAGGTACTTGGTGAGGTCAGTCATGTAACGGCGATTCTCAATTTTCTTTGTCCATCTTTGATTCTGCCAAATTCCAGATCAGAGCTTCATGGGCCAGATCACATTCAGGATGGCCAAGGACCAGGCTCTTTATCCTTTCTTTGGTCTCTGGTCTAGAAAATGGCATAATCATCCTGATGCCTCATCCACCTACTACACCTGATCGCCCACACTGGAAGCTGTGAACCTCTGGTCAGGTGCTGTCCAGTAGAGCTTCCTATGAGGATGGGTGTGTTCTACAATCAGCAGCCAGTGGTCACATGTGGCTGTTGGTGCTTGAAACCTGGCCAGTATGGTTGAAGAACTGAATTCATTCTGTTTGATTCGCTTCACATACCACAAGGGGCTAGTGGCTACCATTATTGGACAGTGTAACCCTTGATTCTTCCTTTTCCTTTACTACAGTGTCTGGTCATTGTCCAAGTCCCATGGAGTATACATGGAAACCTAACACATTGGTCTCTTTTCTCCCTTGTTCCAGATTCTCTTCATTTTTTCCTTTAAATTTTTAACACATATCAATTGCACATAATAATGAGGTTCAGTGTGATATTTTAACATGTGCATACAGCACAGGCTGATAATCCATTCTCCCTTTACCTACCCTATCCCCTAATTCCTGACCAGAAAGACGAGTACCTCATGTTTTCTCTCATGTGCAAGTTGAGAAATGGACCTTAGTTTAGAACTGTGATCCCCAGAGCCCCATCGCTCTTGCCTGGAATGCTGCCCCAGGCCTTTGAAATGGCCTCTCTTCACCTCAGCATTTCTTCTTCCCTTACTTCGAGCCGTCACATGTGCCATTCCTTTTGGCCAGAGAAGGTATACTGTTAACTTTTTAAGAACCTATTCCTATTTGTTCCATGATTTGCTTTTTGGTCCTAGTGTAATTTCTTCTTGTAACTCAGAATATCCAAACTGTGTTCTATTCTCATTGCTTAGTGAAGCCGGACTTTGCACTCTATGGGCCTATTAGTGGAAGAGAGCCAGAGAGGCTGTGTCACTCGGCCTTCTTTGAAGCATCTGATTGCTCCATCTTCTCTCTGGCTCTAAAGTTCTGAGATGTGCTTAGGAATCCCCCTGCATGGCATCCGCTTACTGGCAGGCTCCAGAAGAGGCTGATGAAAGAGCAGCGTGTGTGGAAGACTCTCAGGTGTGAATTGCAGAGCATCCTGCAGGACCTAGGAGAGTAGAGATGGGCTCCATACCCGTCCTACCCCAGCCAGCTGTGACCTTGGGCAGTTCATTCACCGGATCCTGGAACCAGCCAGGAGCTCTGCAGGGCTTTCCTCCCAAATGAGAGGAGGAGCCAGAGATTTTTGAAAGCACTTTCTAGTTCTAATATACCATTTTTCTAAGACCCTCCTTTGCCTTTGGGACTAAAGGAAGAACGCTAAACCAAGCCAGAAATTCTGAATTCTAACCCTGGCTCATTACTGGTTCTTTGGCTAATCATAAACGACTCTTTTTGCTCGGTTAATTGTATTTTTAAGATACCCTGATGAAAGAATCCAAGGAGATAATGATTGGGGATTATTTGGGGGTGGGGGAATGATTGTGTGATTAAGTATATTACTGACATTATTCTAGAAGGAAATGAGTTTCTCATCTTCACTGTTGACATTGGAATCAGATGATTCTTGGTCATGGGAGCCTGTCCTGGGCATGTAGGATGTTTAGAAGATTCACTGGCTTCTGTGCACCAGATGCCAGGAGCATCCCTTCTGTGAGGACAACTGAGATTTTTTTAAATATTGCCAAGTGTTCTCTTGGAGGCATAGAACCACCGAGAGAACCCCATTGAGAACCACGGTCCCACACTGAATGCTTTGATCACACTCTTATTATATAAAAGTATTTTTCCCTGTGCTGCTTTTACTCAAGAAACATCTATCTTATCTCAATTAGTAGTTGCTGGGCCTGGCCAGGCAGAATGACATTGATATGTCCCCCATGCTTAAGGAGTTGCCCATCACAATAATTGGCATTGCCACCAAAGTGGCTGTCAGCAGCTCTCAGAGTGCTACTGCGACAGGGACACGAGAACGGTGAAGTGTCCAGGGAGAAGGTAGCCCAGGACGAGTGTCAGTCTGGGGTCACTTGCTGAAAGACCTGTGTGACTTTCCTGCAGGCCCACCCATGGGTCTCGGGGTCTCGGGGTCTCAGGGCAGAGTTGTGAGCTTCAAGCCCAAATAAAAGGGAAAGGGGTACAGAATAGACCCCATGGGATTCTCGCCTGCACCCAGCAGCTGGTGCTCCTCTGTTCCCACACATGTACTGAGGGGCGGGGAGCGTAAACCTGGCTCTCAGCATTTTGACCAGGTGATTTTTTTCAGTCCCAGAGTTGCATGTTAATTATCCTCACCAGGGTCCTCCACAGTTTCATGGTAGAAGGGCTGGTTTTCCATTTCTGGTCACCTCGTGTTGACTGCAGGAGGCAGATGGACTTGTTTTCTTCTGAAGAGGTCAGGTTAGAGCTCAGAAGAAGGCTGGCTGGTTTCATCTTTTCTGAGGCTGTGAACAGGGAAAGGGTTGGCAACATTGTCCTTATAGGTATCTTTTTCCTTTTTCACATCACATGGTTGTTACAACATGCACACGAGTTACAGGCAGATGTCCTCCTGCCTGTGAAAGAGGAAAATCGGTTGCAAAGAGATGGGGCCTCATGCAGTGACTCTAGTCCTTAGTGGCAGAACTGAGGCCATAGGACATTCTCTCCTATAGTCTCACTCTTTCCCCAGAGCACAGTGAGGACAGTGTCACCATTCAGAAGGCACAGCAGGCATGAGGAGCCAAGTGGCTTTGCAGAGTTCCTCACGAAGCTGAGTTCAAAATCCATGGGCTGAATGCCTTCACGGGTCCAGCTCTGTGTATGGTGTTGGGCTCCAAGGGAAGACTTGCCACCCCCTCCTCCATTCTGTTTCCTCTGCGATGCTTGGTGATATGACTCTACACCTAGCAAGTTGGTGCCTGACCATTAGACAGGACACAGTCCAGGACTGGGATGCCCAGTGGTCGCAAGGCATGCTGTGGGCGTGTAGCAAAGCAGGAAGGGCTGTGGCTGGGAAGAGAAGTAGTGGTTAAGGAAGGAGCTAGTTTTCAGGAAGCATCTTAGTTTCTGCTGCGGGAATGGGGGTAGGCCTGGTAGGAGTAGGAACGCCAGCTGGGCCCATAGAGCACATGGGTCTCAGGTGCCCCTGCGCGTACTGTCTACTATACGTGTAGGGGGCTGTTTAGCCCTGTGGTTGTGCCAGGCAGAGGAAGATGCTGGTGGGCAGGAGAACATGGGTTCTATATTTGGGTGTGGAACCCTGGAGAGGGTCCCCTGTAGGCCACAGAGCGTCTTTCCACAGCTCAAGCATGACAACCTTCTAACTCAGGACCCAGCTGCTCATCTTGGAGGTAAGAGGAGCAGAGCCTGTGGACAGCAGAGTCTGAAGGCCACATGTGGTCACTTGAGGGACCCAGCAGCCTTTATGTCTTGAGGTGCTCCTTACAAGACTGATCCCAGGACAGTGCTGCATCCCATGGAGGACTCGGGAAAACCAGACAGTGTGGCAGTGGGAAAGGGTAGGCATGTGGTGACTTGCTCAGTCATGCGTTTCCTCTGGCCCTATGAGAGCCTCATGCCTCAGAGTTTTGATTCTAGTTTAAAAGATGAAATTAAATCATCTGAAGTGATCATGAAGCTCAGGATTGTAACAGCCCTCAATTGTGCCTTACACACTCCAAGTGTCAGGGTCACTGGGGCCAGCATTATTTGGGACTGGAGAGATCAGTGAGACGGGATGGAGGAGCTGTGTATTTGGAAGAGGTAGGACTTGGGCAGGTCATGGGGAAGAGTGAGGAAGTTGAAGTAGGTGCAGGCCAGAAGCAGGTGTGAGTGCTTCCTGAGACCCAGGGCCCTCAGGAACCACAGTGCACCTGCAGATGCGGTGGTAGCTTGCCGTTGTCAGTAGCTTGAAACCCACTGAGCTCTGGCAAGCCCAGGGCACCATTTGCCAAACGCTGTATTGATGGATTTCTGTGTGCCAGACCCACGGGGCACTCAGCACAAGAGGGGCATGGCTAAGGGATTAAGCAGATATGCAGAGTGATAGGAAGACATAGATGGAATCTTGTGGAGAGAGAGGACTCTGAGGGCAGCAACTCTGTCCTGCAGAGTTTCAGAATCTAGATGGGTCCAGCTTCTGGAAAAAGAATACCTCAGTCAGGGAGATTGACAGGTGACGACATGGCAAAGGGGTGCCCACTGAGACATTGCAGGTCCTGGAGCTGGTGTAGCCCCAACTCCCTTTGACTAAGGAAAGCAGGCTGCCTGGTGACATGGTCAAGGGTCCTGCCAAAGCCACTATGATCTCCCAGATCTGTGGCTGTGAGCCTGGTGGGTCCTTGCTCCTGCCCTTCTACTTTCAGAGAACAAAAGCCTGGTCCTGAGTTTCCATTGAGCTGCAAGAAGCCAGAAGGAAAAGGAACATTTGTTCCTCATTGCTACTCATGGAGTGGAGCAGTGTTCTTAGCAAATTACTAGTAGTGACTAAATCTAGATCAGCTTAATTCTTTCTTGGGGACTCCCTAATCATTCAGCCAACCTGACATTTTCCCCTTGGGTTTCTATGAATACTTTCACCACATGTCCTACACTGCCCCTTAGGGCATTCCTCTGTGCCCTCTCTTCCTTCAAACACATGCCCTCATAAAACCCAGACAAGGTCTGACAGTATCTGTTCCCCCCCACACACATTCAGCATGTGTGAGAGATGCTGGGTTTTCAGTGCTAGGCTTAGCATCGCAGGGCATGGCAGTGTTTGAAGATGGTACCCATTTTCTATGGAGTTAGGAAGGTAAGGTCTTCATCTATGATTCTTAACTGAGCAGCTGTCATGACCCATCCTAGCCAACAGTGCGTGCCCTTCTGGCAGGCACTGCCCTAGTTGCTTTTGTGGGCCATTACGTTTAATCCTCATACTAACCCTGGAAAATGAGTACTGTTATCCATTTCATAGATGAGGCTGCTGAGGCCCAAAGAGGTGGTTTTATTCCCCAAATTACACCTGCATCTGGTAAGTGGCCATATCATGAGTCCAACGCAGGTCTGCCAGGTCTGAAATTGACTTTTTTAACCCCTGGGCTAAGTAAGGATTACGGTGCCAAGGGTACATGGTGTGGACATTGATTTAAGATATTTGACCATGTGGATGAAAATAGGGCAAGCTCAGGAAGGGGGAATGGGCAGAATTCAGATAAGCAAAGAAGAGGCGGGATTGAGCATTTGCAAGAGCCACCTTCACAGAACTGGAGATGGTGAGATGGCTAATCTGCCTGCCAGTTGGTGCCTTTCAGCCTGTGCTTCACCCTGACCTTGTGCATGGCCATCCATAACTCGGTAAAGCAGGCGCTCATGTTATGGAAAGGAGTGAACTTTTCTCTTCTGTTTATTTGCCTACACAAACACTCATTGCTTATCTTGTTGTTGGCAGCTTTGACCCAAAGAGAGCCGTGCAGCAGCTCAGAGCCTGTGGGGTGTTGGAGACGATTCGCATCAGTGCAGCTGGCTACCCATCCAGGTAACGTGCCTGCCAGCCATTTGCCCAAGGGAATGCTGTGTGTGTCCCCCCCCCCAGGATCTCAAATATACTGTTAGCTGGAGACAGATCCTAAAAAAGTGGAGGGCCCAAATTGGGATGCTGACAGCAATTAGAATTTCATTTGTCCCTGAAATAGCACAGGAATCAATATAGTAAGATATTTGGAGGCAGCTTTTCAAAATTCAAGTTGATGTTGGTCTAGGTGATGAGCTAGGTAGTATTTCAAAAGGGATCCCTCCTTTCTTTGATGCCCACCATAGCCCCTGTATCTTTTTCATTTTATTTGGTAAAATATACTTATCTTGACCATTTTTAAGTTGACAGTTTAGTGACATTAGCACATTGGCATTGTTGTGCAGACATCACCACCATCCATCTCCAGAACTCCCTTCAGCTTGCAAAACTGAAACTCTATAGGCACTCAGTTACTCCTTGTTGTAGTTCATTTTTTTGTTACTGTAACACAATACTTCAGGAAAGCTAACCTTAGAAGGAAAAGGTTTCTAGTTTAAGAGGCTAAAAGGCCAAAATTAGGAAGGAAGGAGAGAGAACGTCACCAAATAGGAAACCAGAGAGAAACTGGGTTCTCCTGATCCCTTCTGAAAGCAGCATCTCCAACTGGCCTAAGGATCTTCTAGTAGACCCCACCTGCTAAAGGTTACACCCCCTCCCTAAACCACCACCCCAGGGACCAGGCTTCTAATACATGATCCCTTGAGAGAGAGCCCACATCAAACCAGAGCACCTGTCGTTCCCTCCCTCCAGCCCTAGCAACCACCTTTCTGCTTTGTCTCTGAATTTGACAACTCGGGGTGCCTGATGCAGGTGGAGTTTTAAAGTATTTGTCCTCTTGGTGACTGGCGTATTTCACGTGGCTGCATGTCCATGTTGTGGTGTGTGACCAAATGTCATTCTTTCTTAAGGTTGAAGAATATTCTCTGGTATGCATATGTCACATTCCACCTGTTTACTACTGTCAAGCCCTTTGACTTTTAATAGGGAATCAAATATGTGGTGGAAGTTGAATTTCTTCAAATTAAAAAAAAACAAAACCCTCATGGTTGCCCTGCAGTGTGGATAAGACACTGAACCAGTCTGGAGCCTGGGGAAGCCGTAATAAGTTGTGGCTTTCCCCTGGACCTGCCTGAAATGTGTGTGGAGGGGTGTGTGGCAACTCGTTGCTCTCGTGAGATACACTGTGCCACTGTCCTATAAGCCAAACATGTGCCATTAATTGGGGCTGGGCTGAGCAGTACAGCAGCACAGAGCTTGTGGAGCTGCCCACGAGGACCCTCTGACCTAGGAAGTCCCTTCTATGAGGAGGTAGAAGAAGCCAGAAGTGGGCATAAGGGATTAGGAAAGGCGTCCACTCCTGTCTGCTGTTTAAAACCCTGCAGGGTGGTCCTCTGGAGCAAGACTAAAGGCTGGGTTTTTTTTGTTTTTAGCTACATCTGTCCTTACTTAGGCAAAAGCAGGGGTTATCCTGGGGTCCCTCTCACTTTTTGACCCGGGGGTCTGAACCCAAGTAGCTAACCACCTGTTGCTAATGAATGGGGAGGCTCTGGCTTCCTGGATGGAGGCTCGGCATTCCTTTTGAAAGGGGACTATGAGAACCCAGTTGCCCTCTGGCTTCCCTTCCCACTGTGCCCTGCATAGGCCTTTTGATTGAGCAGCTGGAGCCCAGTGGTTCAGATCTGAGTTCAGGCCACTGTAGTCATCAGTTCCACTGCCTTTGGATGCCTGCTGTAAGCATAGGGTTCAGAACTGACTTATCATTCAGTTGAACTGGGAGAGGACCTTAGGTTACTGCCAAACGACCGGTTTCCAACCATGTCCCATGGGCAGCTGGCTCTACTCCTATTCCCAGCTCTTGTGTTTGCTGGGTTCCTGAGGTAGGTCTTGCCGTCCAAAAGGGTTTCTTTAGTTCTGTCTTTAACCCGGTGTTTCTCATAATCATGTGTTGCAAACCCCTCATGAGTCAGGAAATAATTTTGATTAATTTTGACCGATACACTGTTTATAAAGAAATAACTTGGGTTGGAAATTGTTAAAAAAAAAAAAAAAAAAGGTGGTTTGTGGCAGAGGGATGTTGTGGCATGGCCATGTCGGTGTTGTAAGTGAGGTGTCTCATGCTCTAAGATGTGCTTTCATGATGGGGCTCAGAAAAGGAGCACCTTTGTCCCATGCTGTATTGTCATTGCAGAGCATCTGACTGCTCAAGTCGGTGAAGTGCTGCACTCTAAAAGAGGTTTGTCAGAGGAGTGGGTTGGGGTCCTGAGAGACCTTCCCCCTATGCCTAGCCCAGACCCAAGTCCTGGCTTCCTATTCTTGCCAACTTGTGTGTAGGAGTTCAAGGTGTGGAACTGCAGCCCAGGCAAAAGCTGAAACGGCATGGTAGCTGAACACTGTGCTTTGGAGTCAGCCTGGGGTTCAGGTGTTGGTTCCTACACGTCTTGCCTGGGTGACTTTGGGCAGGTTAATGTCTGAGCCTAGGTTTCCTTATCTTTAAGTATCTTCACCTCATTGGTTGTGAGGAATGAAATAATGTATCAAAGTCCTCAGCATAGTGACAGTACTTCAGTATTTAATAAAGTACTTGTTATATCACTCAAGATATGAGCAAGAATCTGCCTCCCTTTGGACATAGGTATCTGGGTAGAAGACAACTTTACCAGAAATTTCTAGCTTTGTTTTTGTGAAATCCCGATGTGTATAGCCACCTCAAAAAGAGCATACTGAAATTCCTAGGACTCTACAACTCGAAAGGACGAGTTTAAAAGTTAAAGAGGCTGAGGGTTTAGCTCAGTGGTAGAGCATGTGCTCAGCATGTGCAAAGCCCTGGGTTTGGTCCCCAGCACCAAAGTCTGTAATTAGAACTAATAGATCCTGTTTCAAACTGGTGCAAGAAAGAGCCACACCCGTGCTTTCAGTGAAGAGGCCTGAAGGCAAGCGGAGAACCCCAAGGTGTTGACCTTTGTATATAACTCTCACTAGTTTAATGGGGCTTGTAAAGTGGGAAGCATGGAAAAAACAAGAGAAGCCTACGACAGTGAGGTAGTCTGAGGCTGGTGGAATCTTGGAGTCGCCTGTTTCACCAAGAACTTTCTAACAGATTGTTTAATAACAAGACAAATGAATTGTAGAAGGTGTCCCTCTGGGGAGTCTCCTTGGACATCAAGGAGAGGCTACAGGCTCTGCCCAGGCAGAGGTCTGCACATCTGTGCCAGCTCTGATTCATCGGCTGAGCTTCCTCACACCCTCATTGTGTGAAATCAGAGTGACAGTGTGTGCCATCTGCACTCCTACTGGGTTTGCTGTCACACTGCAGAACAGTCTGTTTATAGAGATGGGAGAGTGGGGAGGGGCTTTAATTCTGGGGTCTGGCGTGAGCTTTACGTAGAAAGCTTTATGTAGAATGAAAGGTTTTTGGCTCTGTGGGTCTTTCCCCTCAATCTTTCTCCTGCCCGTCTCACACTATACGGACTCTCCAGCCCTGCATTGGCCCCTGCCCACCAGGAGCCCACAGCTAGAAGTGACACAGACTTGAAGCAGAGACCACCACAAAACCAGTGTTAGATGTGGGAGAAACTGCACCTAGAGCTGGGCCTGGAAGAGCGGGGAGGGTGAGAATCGTGGGGAGGAGTGGGAGGACATTGCCAGTGCCAGCCAGGGAGCATCAGGAATGGACAGCAAGTTAGAGAGGGCTTCCCTGGCCACCCAGTGCTCTGTTGCAACTACTCCATCCCCCATTCTTAGCCTGCTGGCACACCAGGTGTGCTTCTCCCCTAATTCAGACTGCTGCTTCTTGGCAGCTAAGAGCATGTGCCCTCCAAGTCCTTGGACCCATGAGGAAGGTGGCTTCTCCTACTGTGTGTTCCACCTGGCTGCATTCAGAGTTGCCAGCAGGGTCGAGATGCCCATACCTTGCTGGCCTCTTTCAAGATGGCAGAAGCACGTCTTTTCCCGCTGTCCTAATTGTTTCAGACTTCTTTCTTCAGGTAATTACAAGTACATCTGTACCTTTTGTTTCTGTAATTACAGGTGTTATGGGAAGTACAAGGAAGTACAGATATATTTCTGGTATCACAGAAAAGGTTGCCTGCCGTGGTGATGTGAGTAGGTAGGCCCAGATCCAGGATACACCCTCCCTCCGCAGCCTTACATTGGCTGACTTAGCACATTTTGCTCAAGGGTCCAGGAGAGGGTTTCCTCCCTGAACTGCCATGGGAGATGTTCAGTGTTGGAAAGCAGCACCATGATTTTATGGCCCTTGGTTAGTCCTGAGGTGGAGTTGGACCTTCCCTGCTATCTGGTCTAGATCCTCCCCTTATCCTCTTGCCACTCCCAGAATGGTAATTATTTGGAAGATGAGAGGTGATGGGGATTGGAGCTGAGGGGGAAAAACTCCCACACTGGAATCTTCAGACTCAGACTCTTTGCTTAACCTTCTGCTCTTGCCAGCCGTGGTTACTGTTTGGGTGACTTCACTGATGACGAAGAAGTAAACAGTGCTGCTGCCTAACTGCTTGATCTAGGAGACTGGTATTTCAGCTGTATTTGGGATAAATCAAGTAAAGTTTTATGAATGCCTCATGCCCTGCAAGGTCTCAGCTGTGGAAGAAAATCAACCAGTGTAATTGAGCATAGAGAGATTCATTTGGAAGATCTTCAAGGGACCCGAAAGATGTGAGTGGAACCTAGGCTATTGGGAGTTGTCTACAAAAAGAATCGACCTCTCCACTGCTAAAAACCCCACACAGCAAAGAGACTTCACTCGGGCTAACTTGTCGAGTAACTCGCAGCTTTGCAGAGCTGTTTCCCAGGGCTACTTGAATGGGCTTCTTTGATTAGGGGAATTACAGTTTATGCCATCTTCCTGCATTTCTCTTATGCACAGGCCCAAAGGGAGGAAAATGGCAAGGGGGAAGGCAGTGCGTATGGAGTCCAAGATCACAGAGATAGTCTTCGCAGGGCCGTTG